AACAAAGCCCATTTTATAACACAAACAGCCTCATATTGCTTTCAGTCATATTATAATTGAATAGTTTGAATAATTTACCAATGCTGTCCAGTCAGGGAAAAATGTGTTTGCTTCCAGTGACACACAGCACACCAACACACCCCAAATCCAAATTTCTCCCCCTGTGTGACCCTCATCCAACTTTTTTATTGAGTCTTTAAAGCCCAGTTCTGTGAAAATGCGTAATTTCTGTGAAAATATTTATTTTTCACACATTTGGCAGCAGATTCTGCAGATTCTCTTGCCCTAGCCCTACCCTTTTTTCCATCACATTATCTCTCTGGGTTTCGATTCTGCCTCCTTGCTGTACGGCAGGCCGTTTTAACATAAAATTGGTTTTGTCTGACTATCCATTACATTCTAGATATCTAAAAATGCATTTTGACAGAACCAAATTCATCATTTGAAGGGTGACACTAACATGATTATAACTAGTTAAAATTAATTTTTTAGATGTCTGAATTAATGATTGCCTGTGTGGTGCCTCTGACAATTTCCATTGTCCTGCACAAAATAGCTCAGCATTATGGGATATGTGGAGAATGAAATTCCAAAGAGATGCCTCCTTCAAAAATCTTTAAAATTTTTATTTTTTAAATCTATCAATTCATTATCTTACAAACTTATCCCTAGTGGGATTCTGGTGCCTATTCCCATCACAGGGCAACACAAAGTACAGACAGGACAAACAGTCATGCATGTACACAACCACCAATGGGGAGAATTTAGAGAAATAAATTAACCTGACAATCATATTCATAGACATGACGGAGGAAGCCAGAGAATCCATGCATACACAGGGAGAACACGCAAACTTCATGCAGAAATGCCTCGATTCAAACCCAGGACCTTCTGGAAGGCAACAGTGACACCAACTGCACAACTGTACAGCCCCTTTTTTTAATAATTTTTTTTTAAATGATACAAAAAAAGTACTTTTTTTTATCTTGAATTAAAAACGACAACAAAAAGTAAATAAAATTTAATTAATTAAACTGATTAAGGGATCTATCAGTTTTATGATATAAATGTCTGCCAAAAAGGCTCTGACTTAACAAAACTGAGCTGCACGAAAGAAACGTGATTCGTCCAGGTGGTCGCAGGTTCAATTCCCGGCCTGGCAACATTTGCCGCATGTCTTCCGCCTCTCTCATAACCTTCTTTCATGTCGAACAACTTTCAAAGAAAGAGCACAAGTCAACAAAACCTAAAAATAAAATAAAATAAAAAAAATAATAATAATAAAACGCGAGCTTGACGTCAAGAAATTGTCGAAAAACAATAGACCTTTATAGGATCACATGTAATGACCCAAAAGTGCACTGGCCTACCAGGGAAAATGCCCTGTATGCCAAGTCCTCAAACATTTAGTGTATTACTACTACTAATAATAAGAACAATGACATTACATGAAGGCAAAAATGACATTTGGTTTTCCATGTAACAGACCTCGGTTAAAAACATGTCGTCATTTTACTAGGCAACATTTCAAATAAAATCGTAAAGAAATAACTTACACAGTCTGGCCGCCAAACCTGTCAAAACTCTGGCTTCTTGTATGTTCTCCTTAGTTTATTCTGGGTTCTTGCTCCACCCTTCTGACATCAGCACGCAACGTAATAAATGTTGGCGTCGCGCTGGGTTTCATTTTCACAGAAAGGTGTTGACCTGAACCTCAGGTCATTAATTAACCTCAGTAACTTCATTTATACATTTTTCTCAACCCAGTCTAGTCTTAACACTTTAACCAAACGTAAAAATTTCTCTAAATCTAAATAGTACTGTTAATGTGTAAACATTAACAGTATACAATAGAAATGCAAACAAATAAATAAACAAATAAATAAAATTAAAAATTGAGGACCAGGGGAATCGCCTTACTTTTCGCAAATTACCTCCTTCGTTAGTAAATATTGCGAAAGTGGTCCTCTTTTATTTTGACGGTTCCACCGGAAGTGGTTTCCTTTTGACAGCTGAGGCAAAAAGTGACGTTGCGGGATAAACAAACGAAGGAGGAGGCGAGTGAGCGGTGTCCATCCTGTATCCTGACATTTCTACATTTTACGACAATGCAGTCTTCTAAGAGGAGCGAGAGCGACTGGCAGGGGCTGGTCAGCGAGGTAAGAGGAAAGACAGACACCGAGAACCGCTGCTTCTGAGACGGGCGGCTTTAACAGACGCTCCTCTTGTCCATATGGAACCAGCAGGTGTGTCTGATGAGCAGAGCCATAAACTCGTTACCGACACATAGACTCAGCCGCGAAGGTCTTCATCAAGGCTTTTAGCCGTGGCTCAAAAGGGCAAATATTTAAAGCCCATATAGCATCAGACAAGGCGTGGGAACGCACAGCTAATTACAGGTGAAACACACCTGTAGGCCCACCTGGTTATCAGGATGTTTGCTTGAAATTGCTACCAGTTTCTGTTGCTCAATCACAAAACATATCAATAAGACATTACAGTTTGTATTTATTAGCTTAAGGGTTATGAATACTTTTCTAAAGCACCTTACAGGTAAAAAAAATTAAATAAAAAAATACTTTGCTTTTGCACATTTAGCATCAGCTGCAATTTGATTATAAGCAAGATAAGTGTTACTCTGCTCTGGTAAAGTTATTATTCCTGTTCATGTTTTTTTTCTTATTGTTGTTAACTCCCACCCGTAAATCACCAATGCTCCTAAAATGGTGAACTAAATGCACTTTATTACATTTCTTTGGTGAATCTGCATAGAAATTCCAAAGTTGGCACATTTTAATGGAACATAGCATTTTATAATTGATTTACCCAGAAACCTATACTGGCATACACTTAAGTTCAACTGAAAGACAATGCAATGCTCATCTCTTGTCACCTCTGTGTAGGATGTTAGTTAGTTATTAGTTTCCAAAAATATGACTTTTAGCTATTTCTCAATTGTTGCCAGTGGGACTGAACAATAATCAGGAAAACAACCAATTGCAAACTTTAACTTGTTGTTATTATTATTCATAACAATGTCCCACAAGTCTGATACCCTCATTTGCATGAAAGTATTTCACACAGTGATATTGCAACATGTAGCACATCCAGCTTTTTAGATCTTTTTCTCAATCTCTTTTTCTCAATCTCTTTTTCCATTTATCAGTCTATATTTTCATATTTGAGCAGGTATGTTACTATTGCTGACATTCAAAAGAAACAAGACTGATCTTTTCAGGATTTATTGAAACAATGTAACATTGGTTTAGTTCAGTATTCAATAACGTGTGCAAAAAAGGTTTCATATTTAAATTCATTCTTTTTCAGCCCACACAAACTTTTGGGGCCATGAATCGAAAGTTATTGTCAATATAGAAGCATAATATTGGAATCATTTCAAGAGATAATGTATGAATTTCCAAGTAAAATAATCTATTTTGATATTCTATTGCAGATATTCCTTATTTTAGCTTAACTGTTGTAACAAAGCTAGAAATTAATAAAGAGACTTTAGGAGCCATCTTGAAAGACAGGAAGATTTGCCAAGACTAATTCTAAATAATATAAGAGTGTCTGGCTGCTTGTTAAGCAAAATAAAATAATAATTTAAAAAAATGTCGAAATAGGCATAACTTGAAACCTAATTCATTCTTAATGCATTTTGTAACGCCACTTTACTGTTCTCTGTTCATGCTTTGTTTCAGTTCCTGGTGTGTAAACGCAAGTTGGAGAGTAAAAAGGAGGCGCTGCTCATCCTGTCCAAAGAGCTGGACACATGCCAACAGGAGAGAGACCAGTACAAGCTGATGGCCAACCAGCTGAGAGAGCGCCACCAGGGGCTGAAGAAGAAGTACAGGGAACTTATTGTGAGTAGTTCAACATGCTGGAAACAAAATACAACTGGATAGAAACTTACTATGTATTTTGCTTCTGATTTTAAGGACATTAATGAATACATATCGGGCCACTTTTTCTTGTTATTGTGGAATTTAGTAAATAAAAATTATTTTGGTAATTCTAACCAACCAAAAATTTAGGACATTTGGTCTGATTTACCTTTGGACAGTGAGAAAAAAATGTGTGTCTTTCAGTTTATAGTATGTGAACTTCTGGTTTCAACTGTAAATATTTCTCGTTTCAGGATGGGGATCCTTCTTTGCCACCAGAAAAACGTAATCAGGTGAGTTACTGTTCACAACGAAGATAATCAAATCTAATTTAAACGAGACTAACTTCTCATTGTTTAACTTCACTTATCTATACTGATTGTAGTTATGTTACATGCAACAACAGAAACTTACACAATAATGTTTTGTACAACTTCCTTGTATCATCCCATTTTCTGGGAATACTTCTCAGTTAGATCTTAATGAGGAATGCATTTATGTCCCTCATGAAGGTTTCATTAGTGTAAGTTTTTGTGAGCAGTCGAAGTGGCTTTGCAGTGGCTTTTCCCCTCTCCTCCTTCCTCAGGTGAACCTGGGTCAGCTGTTGAGGGACTCCAGGGACCGAGTGAGACAGCTCACTGAGGAGGTGAAGGACCTCAATCAGAGGCTGGCTGAGGCCCAGGGGGACAACAAGGTGCTCTCACAAAGATCCACCACAAGAATAAACACGAAGGAGAACTCATATGTTTGAAAGAATTTAACGTAATTTGTTCTTCTTGCAGCTGCTGAGGATGACCATCACTCGACAGAGGCTGGGAGACGAAGAGGTGGGGGTCCGCCACTTTCCTGCACATGAACGAGAGGACTTGGTTTCTCAGCTAGAAAGAGCAGGGCGACAGGTGACACGTTTTCTCTCATGTTACTTAAACAAAATACGTTATTTTAAAAGTTTTATATGCTGGTATGTTGCTAAACTTCATTGCAACACCATACAAAACATGTCAAATAAAATTTATATCTACTTTAAGTTCAATTGGTAGACTTTGTTAAACTCTGCTTTTATTTATTTCGCTAATGGTCTCATGCTGACTTTTATAACATATTATTACAAAAGATTGTGACCTCTGATCAAACAAAAACAACTGAGACTCCTTGCTGGCAGATATTGTGTGTTGGAGTCACATAAGACACCTTTTCTTTGCCTCTTCCACAGTCTGCATTTTACCTGTACAGTCCTGACATTCAGGATAACTTGTCATTATTTGGCTTTAAATACGTAAGACGAAATTTAATTTAACCGTCACAGGTTAACGTTTTCTGTCAGATGCTTCCAAGACTGCAGTTGTAGTGCTGGTAAATTCATAGTGCGAGACTTCTCATTTCCTGAATAATGAAAGCAACTTGTGAAGTCTCGACAAACTGTATTTCACAGAAACCTTTGACCTTGTCGCATGTTTGTAGATGGAGGAGATGGAGCACACCATAAAAGCCTTGACGGATGAGCTGCAGGACGTTAAAGCAGAACGCATCGTGTTCAGGGAGAAGGCTGACCGGCTAAATGTTGAACTAAACCACATTTTAGGGAACCATGAGTCGCGCATCATTGATGTGGATGCACTCTGCATGGAAAACAGGTGAATAGAGAAGACTGTGCATCTTTTATCAAATGAAATTGTTGAATAAGACACAAGTTTTCTCTCTCATGTGATGTTTTGGATTTAGCTGCTGATCTGATGATATTTTTTGTAAATATTATACTAACATTCAAGCACAAGGACAAAAGTGAAGCGTAAACAGCTACAAGCTATAGGATTTTATGGCTTTAAAATGAATTCTTTTTATTCCAAATCTACAGTCAGTGATAATTAAAATGTTTAAGATATCTGGGGCTTAGTTAAACGATGCTGGCTGAGGACCTCAGGTTTCTCTTTGAGGGGTTCCTCAGAGAGGCAAAAGAATAATAACAAAAAAGAAACGGAAAAACTGCATAAAAACTATGCAGTTATTGTTGAGCACTGTTTCAAATTATAAAAAGAATTGCAACCAGTCGAGCTTTTGAAGAAACCAAAGTGTTTATCTATTTTTAATCATTTACAGTTCTCGTCCTGCCAAACGGCAAAAAGACTTTCTTCAGTATTTCGTACCATCCAGACGTTTGTCAATTCCAGCTTTTAGTTAATTCGTGTATTTTTTTCTTTCATTTGGGATTTTTTTTTAGCAAAAAAACTTGATTAAATAAGAATAAAAAAACAATAAAAACTCTACAGACTGAAATCAACATGCTTCCGGAAAACTTCTGTCTAAATATTTGTCAGTTCTTATCAGAAATAGTAGAGTTTATTTTATTTGCTGTGTTTCCACTGTCGGCTTGTAACTGTGAGGTTCTCGGTTTGAATCCCAGCAATGGGCCTTTCGGTATAGAGTTTTCATTTTCTTCCTGTAAATGGGTGGGTTCTGTCCAGACACAGTCCAAAAACATGAGATGTCAAAGGCTCCAAAAAGTATGTAGGCCTATGTATGTAAACTGAAACTGTTCACCACTGTGCAAAAGTTTGCTGTTTTCAAAGCAAAATGTAAACAAATTAAGGATGACTCAAAATCTTGGCACATTAATGTACCTGAACTTTATGATTTCATGTATCGCCTTCTGCCATGTTCAGAATTACCATTTTCCAGAACTTAGGACTGTCTCATCTTGCATATGAAAAGCCTCCAACCATCTGTGCATCTGATCGCATTTTTAATCGCTTTCACGGTAGGTATTTACACGACCGGCTATCGCAACTTCAGGAGGAGGTGAACCTGCTCAAAGCAAACATCATGAAGTACAAGGTAAATGCTTCTGTTGAGGGGTTAATGCTAAAACAGTTTTTTTTTTCAAATCTCCAAAGCCCACAGGATTTCCTGTTTTTTTTTTTTTGTTTGAAAGAAGCTACATTAACTCAAATCATTCATCAAGCTTTGTTGTCTGGTTTCCTCTCCACAGACGGCCCTCGAGAGGAGGAAAAACTCCAGCACATATGGGAGATCAAACAGCGTTCCCCTTACAGGAGTGCTATCAGCCAAACAAGGTGAAAACACCAACTGTTGAGCTCACTTTAAACACAAAACATAAAACACATCAGAGCCGTTCATCTGGAAGGCGAAAAAAAAAACAAAAAACTGACTCGGCTGTGCCTGTCACCTCGGTTTTATCTCCCAAATTTCATTAGATGCCTTCATTCTCATAAGTAAAAGAAACTAGTTTTCCCGTCCCAAGCCGTGTTTTTACTAAATTATTTAATAACCTATGTTTTGCCGATCCTTCAAGCCACCACCCGGACACCAGCTGTGTTTTTAATTGTATTCTCAGTGGTGCAGAGTGCCACTGGCAGGGAAATGAGGCTGCCATGATGACTGACAGTCGCTGGCAGAAGCAGCACAGTGGGTTCTGGAGTTAAAGTTAGGGAGGTGTCACCTAGCAGTCAGCTGTTTCTAACACTCTGTCTCTGTCTTACTCTTGTCATGCTGTTTCCTGCTTCTCTCATTCTGTCAACCTGTTTTCTCTGATGTCTACTCTTAAAGGTCTTGTTGATGCATTATTAGTAGATTATGTCTCCGCTCTTCTGGTTTAGAACATTTTGCTCCCGTTTTTCCCTCACACTGATGTCACTTTTCTTCCATTTTCAGTCCAGGAGATGCTCCTGGAGGAGCAGGGCTGCAGCTTACCTGCTACGCCTCAGTCCATCGCCGACCTGAAGTCGCTTGCCACCGCTCTGCTGGAGACCATCCATGAGAAGAATCTGGTCATCCAACACCAGAGGCACACAAACCGGTACAGCAGCTTGCAAAACGTTTTCTTTAACTTTTCCACATTTGGTGACTTAGTAATCATGAAACTGCAACATTTTATTGAGACTCAAGCTGGAGCATGATATAGAAGTAGTGGGAAACTAATACATTTTTAATGTGTTAATGAAGGCTTTATAAACTAAAAAATACTGAAAAGTTTGCCATACACTTATATTTATTGACTAATTATACTACTTGACAAACTCGCTCCAGCTCTGTCAGTGAGTAGAGTGTCTGGAAAAAGGTTTTCAAGTTTTGATAGAGATTCTCAGTTTTGGTATGAACTTTGACTAGGCCATTTATTACACAAATGCTTTGATCAAAGCAACCTGCACTTCTGCTTAGCTTGTCTGTCTAGCATGATGCTGCCACCACCACGTTTCACCATCTGGAGGATATACTCAAAGCAAAATTCCTCCATTTTATATTTAGGTTAAAATGTTTTGGTTTCATCTGACCAGAGGATTTTCTGGCATGTGTTTTTGTCTTCCCATTAGATGGATGTTGGTGAACATTGAAATGACTTTTTATTGTTTTCTTTTGTTGACTGGACTTGAGCAGAGTTGCCGTCTGTGAGAGACGCTTCTCTACAACTTTTAGATGCACTTTTTGTCCCAACACATGTTTCTACTGCATGAATTCCCTCATCAGCAGTGATGCTGATGAGGCTGATTATTTCACAACCTAACCTTACTTTAGGTAATTTGTTGCATGCACTTGATTTTATGTGTTAGTATTTGAATAAGGAGTTCTGCATACTAAGAAACGCCACACTTTTCAGATTCGGTCTTATCATTTTATTTCCAACACCACGATCTGACACATTTCAGTATTCACTGTTACATGAGTTCCCCTCCTCAAAGACAAACACTCAGATAAGACAGACAAACACAGACTAAGCGTGTACAGAAACCTTACCTCTTGTTTCTGTTCTGCAGGATCCTGGGAAACAGAGTTGCCGATTTAGAGAGGAAGTTGAAAACCTTGGAAGTATCAGGATTGTGGAGTTTACCAGGTGAGTTAAAAAAAAAAAACATAGGAAATGGATTATATTGTAGTAAATACTGAAAACCTGAAATAATCCCCAGATAGTGAGCATTAGGAGCAATCCAGCTTCACTATTTTTACTGTTCTTACATGAATTAATGTCTTTGTTGCCAGTTTGGAATTTAGTCCAAATTTGTACATTTTCAAGTGTATTTAATTGTCAAACTCAGGATCTTTTTGTATCCATTTCTGTGTTTGCTAAGACAGGCAGCACTGAGAACACAAAGTCTCTACCACCACACCATGAGCAAACACAGCTGTGTGACTGTTCATGTTTATCATGTGTAGTAACCTTATCTCAACAGATCTGTTACCACTACTGACAGTGGACACACTTTCTTTCACAAAAAGAATGTTTTTACTAGTTCGTTGAACGATTAGTTTACTTTTACTATGCAAGTCGGTGAACCCAAAAATGATTAGGTAGGAGGTCAAAATAAAATTTCCAAAAAATGCAGGTTTACACTGGAAAACAATGTATTGTCATAAAGAATTTATTGTTTTAGTTATTATTGTTGTTGTTTTTTTGGGAGTGTTAAAAATATACATTAGTTAACTCTAAATTCCCAAATATTCTGCATGCCACACATCTTCTGCCGAGGCGTATATATGTCTACTCTTCTTCTATTAATTATAACATTAATGTTTTGTATTTACAACGTTGTACCTATCTGTCTCTCCCCTCTGGCTGCGTCTCAGGCTTGACCTACCACGTATCTGTGGGAATTGGGAGTATGTATTCCTTCTGCCCCACTTAGCCCATCCATGTCCCCCTCCTCTGTATGTCATGTCAGAACAAATCTGGGCAGATGCCCAGAAAACATGCCACCTCGTACCCGCCTTTTACCATGTGTCGACTCCATTGACCACCAGCTCGTGTGTTTGTTCATGATGCCATCGACACAACCAGACCACCTCATCAACTCACACCGTTTATATTGATCCAGCTGGCCTGGGGTATATTATAGATGGGGGGAGGAGTGGAAGAAGAGCACTAGCAAAAGTATTCATGCTTTCTGATCAATTATAAACCTTGATATATTTTTGGGGGATTTTATCAGATAGGCAAGTAGTTTGTATTTGAGTACAGAAAAAGTACATCATTTTGTAAAAATATGAAACGGATTGTTTCATATTTTTCATTTTGGGAACATGGAATGTGGCAATCTGGGAACAAGATTTGTAATGGCTTTAATTTAGGGTATGCTTTCTTGTTGCCACTTCCATGATCAACCGAGAGCCAAATGGCTGATCCTGATTAATGCTCTCTTTGCCCAACATGCTAAGTTTGATGGCTAGCCATGCATTCTGCATACTATTACAGTGTTCGGATGGATTTGTAAAATTCATCATCAAAGGCATGCCACACTTTTCAGATATTTATTTGTTCATTTTATTTTTTTTTTTTTTAGTATTCATTATTTTGCGATGAACTTGTGACTTCCTCCTGTTGTACCTCATCAGTGGATCAGTGGCTGGATGAGTTTCACTTAAAAAATATGCAACATTTTGTGTTGGTCCATCATCTAAAGTACAATGAGGTTTGTGGTGGGGAAAAAAAAGAATAAGGGATATAAAGAATTCTGAAATCCAGTCATTTCTTATGTTGAGGTTCACCAGAAACTACAAAATACAGATTTCAAGGTTATTTAATAATTAAGTTATCAGCAATTTATTTAGGGATTTAAAGCCTTTTTGTTAACAAAGTAAGGTCATTATATTCAGCTGAAGTAAAAAAAGAAAAAATCAATTTGTAAAATCCAGAAGTAAGAATATAGAACTGAAAGTCAATCCTCAAGCTTTTCCATAAATGTAAACAAAAATGTTGTGTATTATCTAAAGTAACATTCTAAATTGAATAGTCTGTAAATCTAAGTGACCAAACCTCTTCCCAAGAGAAACACTTCCTCCTTCTTGCCACTGGAGGGAGATGTTACACTATCACAACCAGTCTGAAACGTGGAGGGGCTGTGGCTGGCTGGAGGTGCGCTGTCATGAGACCGTCATTCTCTTCGCCATAAAACTGACAAGCATCCATTACTGAAAATGATTGCCCACATTACAAACACATTTAGGGGAATGTGCCGTTATTAGGGAATTTGTAGGCGAGGGCCCAGAGTGCCTGATGAGCACGCTGTCCACCACAGTTAGGGAGACAAGGATATAGAAAGAGAGGCGAGTGTCTGTGGCCTTGATGTGATAGGACGTCTGGCTGATGGATATTGGAGCCAAACGGGATAGGATAGAGGGCCTTGGCTGCCTACCTGAAGCCCAGAGAACATGGGAAGCGACTACATTGTCTACGGATGAGAGAGGGCAGAAAACAATAACAATCACATCGATGTAGTGAGTTAGATGAAGTTGAGATTGATGGGCTCTCGCAGTCCGCCCTAACTTCATGCTAAATAAGTGCAAGCTGAACTAGCGCTGCAAATGGAAGCCTTGAAGGGTGCGTCAGGCTACAGACTGAACCTTCAAAGCTTTATTTTATCCTACTGACAGACTTCAGCTGCTTAAGTGACTCGTTTTAACTGAAAATTATGTTTCACAGCTACAAAGGACTGCGTTCTAGACTACGTAAATGAGCTAATTTATCTTGGTTTTCAGTATTTCATTATAAATATGGCTTTTTGGAGGTTTTACATTTTTATAACATTTCTTTGTTGCTGGATAAAGGTAAAAATGTCTAAATCTAGAAAGTTTCTGCTTGATTTTAAAGACAAATATTTACCATTATGGTATTTTCTGTCTCTATTGACTGTTTTCAACAGAAAAATGTAAAAAAAAAATCTACTTTTTTTTGTATTTCAAATCATTTCAGATTTGAGTTGTTCTGAATCTTTACCCATTTGTCGGAGAATTGTGAAAAAGACTTTCAGTTGGGATGATTCACCTTTGAATAATGGCCTTTTATTTAAAAGCCTTTGGTGTTCATCCATATTGCATTCTGCAGTAAAATAGATCCAGTGTTTTCTCACCATTGTTGGCAATTTGCATTTTGTCCTATAAGATGTCACTTTAAAGGTCACATTTTGCCTTTTGGGTTTCTTTCTCTTTTCTCCTGGTTTCACAAAAACTCCCAAAACCCTGAGTTAATGGTGTTATTCTCTCGCTTTGAAAACAGAGCAGCTGAGCCGCCTTGTTTTGTGGCCCAGACTTTTCTTCCGTTATTTGTTTACATCAACATGCAACAGATTTGCATAATGCCTGCCTTCTGGCTATGTTGGCACAACTCAAACAAAGAAAAAAAAAGTTGCCCTTCATCATTTTTAACCAATCTGAGCAGAATTTTTGGAAATGGGGCCAAGAAAAACACATCTTATAGTTTATTTTTTGCCATATTGTGACAAGCAGTTCTGTAATAATGGAAGTTTTTTTTTCTTATAATACCAGTACTAAAAATGTGTACAAACCTCTTCTGGTGAGCCTTAATTTGAAACTGGCATGTCACTAATCGGTTTTCTATAATCCTTCATCAACTCTTACAAACTTTCTTTTCAAGTCTGGGGAGAATGACCCTCAAAGCATCACTCTGCCACCACCGTGTTTCATCCTGGGTGTTTTCAGGGTTATGTGGACGTTGAACCGTTTTAATCTCAAAGACACAATTTCAGCACACATGATCTCACTCACTGTTTTAATCTCACATTACAACATGCATTCATAACAATGTTCCCTTTTCACCACTCTTATTTCCCATGCATCATCACTCCATTATTGCATCTGTTTTTTTTTCTTTACCTCACAGTAGAAATAGTCCAGCTCATAGTCTCTGTAAAAGAACTACACACATGCATACTTCTGCGCTTGTGTTTATGTGCGCATACAAGGGTGTTTATATTTATAACGTCTGGATTATGGTGTACAGTCTCTTTCGAGGAGCATATGGTGTCAGCCTAAAAGGCGTGCAGCCATCACTAATGAAGACGGATGACAGGGAGCTGAATCCTCTTTCTGTGAGCGCTGCACTGCATACGTGAGTGCGTGTTTGTATGCTGTGTGGTTAAGGAAAAAAAAAAAGCCTTAAATGTGCTTCATCCATTCCATCATGTCTTAAAAGCCACTACCTGCTTAGTGTTTTTTCTGCCATCGTGTTGGATGTGAGAGTAACTGAGGTCGGAGGTGTTTCCGTCTTGGAATTCGTCTTTCAGGAACCAGGGACAATATGGCACTAAATGAAAATCTCCAGCCAGAGCTTCATCCAACCTGTGCCACGCCTTTGCCAAACACGCAGCCCCACAAAGGTGAGTGTGTAACCGTGTGTACCTTCTTACTGATGAGAATCCCCATCCCTGCCATTAACACAGCAATTAGCCACCATGTGGAGAAACACTCCTCTCTGTCTCCCATGTTTAACCCGAGTCCTTTCCCTTCCCGACTCTGCTTCTCTCAGCCTCTTATTGGTGCAAGCTGCCCAAATGCCATGGCATTTTGGAAATGTGAAGCGAATTCTCGCCCACTGACATTCAGAAACTTCTGTCATGTTCTCTTTTAAGAGAGGGTGGAGAGGATGCCATAAATATGGATGCCACTTCCAGTAATGCTGGTGTTTTTTTTTTGTTTTTTTTCCTTCTTTCTGTTTTGGCCTCTGAGAGTGTGTATAAAATGTGTCTGGGACTGTGCATGCAGTCTTTAACCTTTTTGCCTGAACATCCACAAATATGGGTCAGTGAGCCCCTAAGAGAGGGATTTTCAGGGAAGAAGCAGAACTAAGCTGTTGCTATTACTCAGACGGAGGCGTCATCTTGTTTCAACTCCACCTGTCTGGGGCACTGCTGCTAAAATTAGCCTGATTCAGTCACATACAGTGTCTTACATATTTATTTATTCCTACCGTTGAACTTGTTCACATTTTGTCACATAGCGATCACAAACTAGTGTATTTCAGGGGAGTTTTGTTGATGGGCAAACTAATAAATTAATAATTAGGAAGGTAGAGTGCTTGGTTTCTAAGAGAATATTTGTAGACAAACAGCATGATGAAAACCTAGAAACACAGCAAACTAGTCAGGGAGAAAGTTGAGGAGATGTTTAACAGGATCAGGTTATAAAATTATACCCTCAGCTAAAGCATTATCCCATAAATATAAATACATGCCCCACTTTTTAGAGCATTATTGAAAATCACAAATTTTGCTTCTACTTGCCCTCTACAATAATTTACTATTTTGTCACTGTCTCCTGTAAAAGCTCAATAAAATTCCCATATTTTTGCGATTGACATAAAAAAATATGAAAAAGTTAAAGTGTTGTGAATACTTTTGTCAGGCATCATATGAAACTAAATTTTAAACAAGTAACGGTGATAAATTGACAATTGTACTTAATTTTTTTCTGTTTAGCACATTATGGACTTGGTTTTGAAAGTAAAACTGTGTGTAAGACTAAGCTCTAGTTACAGATGTAGACAGAATTTGAAAAGATGCAGTACAATGTTGTCGTTTTGATGTGTGGTGCCATTTGTTTTAATGCACAGATGATCTCCCTCATGAACACCGTTGGGGCAAATTGAAGCAAAAGTGTTTGTTTTTTGATCTTGGCTTTGGCTGCAGCTCAAGCGAGCAATTACAATGACCAATCACCTCAATTTTTTTTCTTCTCCCTCTTCTGTCAGATGACAGAAGTTCACATGAATCATCTTGGGAATGCTGCACCGCTGGCAGTGACCTTGGCACAGATGGCGCCAGCAGGGAAGACGCACCTGCACTGCTCAGCAGCGCGGATCCTTTCGCAGGCGTGGAGACGGATGGGATTGACGGGAGAGAGGGAGAAATCATGACCCTGAGAGACGATCCGGAGCCGGAGGATGAACGGAGTCCGGTGGAGGAGGCAGGGCGCGAAGAGGAGGGAGCCGAGGATGAGGAGCTGGGTTCCTCTGTGGAGGAAGGGGAAGAAGCCGCTCTGGCACTGGATCTCCGTCTGACTGAGTCGAAGCTTCAGTGGCTTTCCATCGCACAGACTTCTGTCACATATTCAGAGGTTTCCTGCCAGGACAGGGAGTCTAATGATGCACTCGAACATGAAGAAGCCTCGGCATCGATTCCAAAGAGTCAGGCCACACAGGGACAGAGTAACACTGAGTGGGACATTCACTGTCCATCTGCACCTGGCATGATCTAATGTCATGAAAAGATGGGGAAAATTTCTCTAAGTCCTTGTCGTCGTTATTGATGATTACATTAATCATCCCTAGTTGGATTCCCACTGCTTAGCCTCTGCTCATTAACTTCCTTCCACACTGAGCAGCTCGCTTTCAGTCAATAAAACAGAGAAACTCCCCCCCAAATGCTGCTGACAAAGCCAGAGGTGCCCTCTGCATCTAGACTAGCTTGTGTTGCTCTAAAGCAAAAAAATCTTCCAAGCAGTAGAGCTGCAAACTCGATGCCCTGCAGAAAAATTAACAAGTGATCAGCTTGTGTATCCTATATTCTCTTGTTGCGTTCCCCTATGAGGAGATAATCCCAGTTGTTTGCTTTATTTTTATCAAAGCTAAGGAATGCCAATAAAAGTGCTGCATTTTTGAGGGCTTTACTTCCAAAAGTGATTTCAAATTGGTGAAGTGCCAAAATTTGAACTATATGTGTGATGGATACTTTTGAATTCATTGTTTCACCTCAATACTGTTCATATTTGTTTGTTTAAATCTCGCATATTTTTTGATGTATTTGGATGTGCCTTATGTGTCAAAATATTTAATATTTATGAATAGAAATTCATAAAAAGCAGCCATATTGCTTGGTTGCATTAATTTAAAGTACAGAAAGTTGGGGTCCATTTGTTCTATTTTTTTTTCCCCTTATTAAAAAAAAACATCAAACCAAACATACTTTAACAAATGACATGGAGGAAGAACATCCTTTGAAACCCATGGGTTGTTATTGCACACAACCCAGTATTCACTAATGACTCATTACAAAAGTAGTTTAATTTCAAATACTATAATTAATATATACATTAAAAATATATTACCATAAAAGAAAGATGAAACTGCCAGTCATAACAAAGCATAAAAAAAATCTGTTTAAAAGGAAGTGTGTTCTTGGAACTTGAGGGTGACAGTTTGACCTTCCTGTTCTCCTTCACATCTTTTTTTAAATTTTTTTAGTTTGACATTTTGTAAATGCATTAAAATAACACCTTTTTTTCTTTTTAATTTTATTTTTTTTTACAACAGTCATCAATAATTGTGCAGAGTGCTAGAGCTGAGGCCCAAATTGCTCTTCAGAACCCAGAAGTGAAAGTTTATTTTATAAACATTTAATTTAATTGACTCTTAGCCTTGAGAGGAAGACGTTTTCTGCTCTTAATTATCTTTCTTGTGAATGAATAAATTGCACACTTCATGCAGAACATTAATTTTATCGTGTTTTAAACTAAACGTGCAGTAGAACTTCTTCAAAATAGCAGAAGTTTTCCTGTCAAAAAAAAAGTTGAATCCATAAACACACCCGGGTCGTCTTGTGGCCAAAGTCCAGAGCGCGGTGTGTTTTGGGAAATCAGCAGTGAGTCCCACTCCTACATGCAGGTGACAGCTGGCCTCTCCAGGCAAACGCAGCATCAAACCCAGAATGCATGAACTGCTTATTCTGCAGGAGGCCGCTTGCTATTTTTAATCACCAATATAAAATAGAGATGAGGAAAAAGAGGGAATTCAGCTTTGGAGTGGGGTGGAGAAGAGTGGGGGGAGCGTAGCACGTACACAGCATGGGACCTGTGCCATGCAGCTGATTTGGCAAACTGCACCAAGGCTTTTTTCTTTTTTTTTTTTCTTCCTTTTTTAATTTTTTTTTATTTTGTTCCAGCTTTAAGTCTGTCACCCAGATGGGAGCTGAACTAATAAATTTAGATAGCAGCTTGCCATTAAATTTCTCTAAAGTAATTGCCTAGTTTTTGATTGTTTGCATGCATATAAATGATAGGAGGAAGACAGTTAGTTGGAAAATATATTTTTAGCAAACTTCATGATCTGATGCAGGGAATATGTGATTGCGGATTTTGGCCAAATATCGGTGCTTTTGTCAAGTAAAGTGAACCTGCACTGAGGAAAATAGAATAGTCTGTTATATCCTACCTGCGATGTGGAAAAGTTCAGGTCCTTCAAAATGTATAACAGAATCTAATTAAAATCTTTTTGAAGAATTGCTTTACTGCAGGACAAATGTCAGCTGTAGTATCTACCAAAGCTATCAACTAGCTGCTGGCATAATTCAACCACTGTTTTCAAGTTAAGCAAACAAAAAGGAACACCTATCTAAAGAAAGAAATCAAAAGCACAAGTGATGAGAATAGATAAAGGAATAAACTATCACTACTATGATTTGTGTTGGTTTATAACTTACAATGCAAATTGAATAGGAATACTTTTGAAAGGCATTGTTGTTACAATGTTGACACAATGTTTCTTGCGTATAGTTCAGCTTTGTCACTTTAAAAATTGTTGTTGGGTGCTACCAGTCCCTCAAAACCTACACATCATATCTTTATCTAAAAAATCCAGTTTTTCTGTTTGGGTCTAAAAGGCCTGACTGATGGAGGGCGGCAAGCGTAACCATTTTTATTCTGGCTTGGTGATATGTTGTTTTAACAAGCCAAGCAGTGTGAGGTTTCTTGCTGGACGGCAGACTCGATGGAGGGCTATGGTGCTTCCAACACTCTTGAGTTACAATAGTCTCTTCATTTAGTTAGTTCTAAGATTTGTTGAACTTTATTCTGGTTCTCTGAAATAGTAAATCTGAATTCCAGATGCATTCTGATTTAAATGCCTTAAGTTAAAGTTGCTATCCCACTTTGACAGCTAGCAGAAAATGCATCCTAAATATTCCGATCTCTGAAATCAGTTTAACCCTGAAAATCTCCTGCTGGAAATAGGCTGAGGCATCTGTAGCCGGTGTCCCATCACTGATGTCACATCAATAGGTCTTGTCAGCTCTTATCACATTGACCCACCTTCTCCAATCTTAATAGCAATCTGACTGTACGGCACGGACATGGGCTGACCTCCAGTGTGGCCTCTCAGCTTATCGGCCGGCCACAAGCTCTTGCTCCACCACCGTCCCCAGCATGGGATGGATGTCCTGCGGCTGCAGTCAGATTTAGTTTAGGCAACAGGAAGTGTGGCAACCAGTCGATTGCGACCAGGAATAAAGAACCAGAAACACTGAGACAAAAATATGTAATTTATGATAAGTAATATCTGATTCTTGTGTTGTTTCCTAAATGTCTGGGTATCTGAAGAAGAATATTTTTGAAACTGTAAAGGTGCATTTTACTGTCATGTTGGTCTGACAAAAGAGTTCAACTACCACTTCAACATTGTTTCCATTCAAAGCTGAACCTTTTTATGGCTGGTGTTACATTCAGGGTCAAGATGTATTCTCGATGTCCAACTTTGAGGAAGAATAACAAAATGGTGTGGTGTAATGTGGGACACTGAACTGAAGTCCTGCTACAGATAATCAACTGGATTTAAATCTGGACCTGGACCGCAGTATTTTAAAACATAAATATTCTTTCCATTTTGTTGTATATACAGCTATATGCAGTGTTGTCCTCCAAAAAGATAAGCCTGCATCCCAGCCTCAAGACTTTTGGCGTCTCTGATAGGCGTCTTCTTCACTAATTGTCCTGTATTTGAGCTTCTTCCATTTGCCTCACCTTTTGTGTTTAGAACAAATGTGAGAATTGTAGGCCTGATATGAACAAAACCTGAAGTAAATATTAAATCATCGTCAGTGTCAGAAAAGAAGACAGGCGAGACTAAAATACTGTCAGGAAATAGTAACGGTTTCTGATGCCTGGTGAGCTGTTGCACGACTCGTCCCCTGCAGATCAGATTTCCGTATTCTTAACAGATGCAAGCTTTCAAACGGTCTAAAGTAGAACAGAGTAACACACTTTTGGCTTTGCGTTCTGATTTTCTTTTAAAACTGCAGTTTGCATTCATGTGATTAGTAGCTAATCCATTCGCTTACTGCGAGCTCTGCCTGCCACAGCTATTTCACAGATAATTGGAGATGCATTTAACAGCCTGTGACAAAGAGACAGACTCCAAGGTGGGAAATTCACAGCATCCTAAAATATCCTGAATATTAGAGCATGATGACTTTGTTGTGACTCTCACTTCTTCTTAATCATCCCCATCAATCTCCCAACAATAGGAAATGAACTGCTTATTCACTTTTATTCAGCCCGTGAGCAGTGTCTGGGCTGCGTAATTATCTGTGTCAATAGCAATGATTGTTTGTTTTGACAGGTTATTCTTCACTTTATAAGTTCAGACACTGAAAGTGGAATTTGAAGCTCTTCAAGGCTACCTTTAAAAAAAAAAAATGACGTCAAGAAGTTAGTTATTTGGGTAGGAGCAGCTTTAACATATTTACTTTCCCAAAATTCAACACGTGAAAAACATTAAATGTGACAAACTGAGCAGCATCCTATAAAATTACCTTCTGTTGCATTAATTGAAAATATTCAACCTGCTTTGACTGGCTAAATTTCATACATATTTTATTCTTGCTGAATAATGAACAGTGTATCATATTATGGTCAGAATTTGATAATAATATAACACTGTAGTTTTGCATAACATGATTATGGTATTAGTAGCATAAATGTGACAAAAGGTGAGTGTATTTATATACATTCACCTTAGGCATAAATTATTATGCCTAATTTATAAATTATTATGCCTAAGGTGAATCATTTGCATTAAATGTTAAAAAAAAAGTACAACTCCTGTACAAATGTACAGTTGTACATTTTTAGAGGCATTTGATCTAATACATACATGGTCAAAATTGCACATAAACATAGTATGTAAATGTCCCCACTAAAATTTGGTTCATTCAATGTGTTCTATATCATTCAAACATAAAAAAAACAGCTTGGATAAATCATTATAAGTCCCAAATTTGTTTAATTTATGAAATTGAGGAGTGTGACCATGTGAAAACAGCTGCATGTACTGAGTACTGGTCAGTGCACATTGAACAGCGCTGGGCAGAAGAGAACTTCACAAAGTTTGAACTGATGAGGCGGGCATAAGTCTAAACTTTTCAGTATTTTTAGTTATATGGGTGTGTGTGTGTGTGTGTGTGTGTGTGTGTGTGTGTGTGCTGGTTTTGAGCTGCATCATCCTGACTTCCAGGTGGCCCAAGGCATAAGTGAAGGAAAAGGCTGCTTAGAGCCTTTAGACCAGCAGAGGGCCCACAGAAATGTTTGGATTCTCACTCACAATAATGATCTCAAAATGTCTGTTTATTAAGAAATTCTCTTTAACCATTTCCAAATAATTTTTAAATACATATTTAGACAACTTGGTAAATGTGCTAGTTGTAAACACAAAGAAAAATGTTAATAGTTGGACAGTTTTTTGAAACGGTCAATAAAGTTTAATCACCCATGCTGATTTGGTCCCATTTTTACACACTGTAACTGTCTGTGAATCTCATCAAATGTATCGTGTTTGCTTTAAAGAATAATCCCTCACACTTGGTATATAGAGCAAAACTAAGGCAACCAGCTTCTTCTGGCATGTCTGAAATGCCTGCAGGACACCAAAAGACAAATAAGCATTTTTCAAAATGTATTTACAGCTGATCCAATCTAAAAGCTCTTATCCCTTGTTTCTGATTTATCAAATAATGGTCAGTGGCCTGTACTTGTGACATGCTTTATCAAGTCTGGAGGATTTAAAAGTGCTTCACACTACATTCTGGCATCCACCCATTCACATTGTTGCCAGGTCTGTCTGACAGAAGTGAGGTTGCCATGCACATCTGACCTCTGAAGTGACCCATTGGTTACAAGACAAATTCTTACCACTGTTGCCTCCTTCACTCTCTGGTCTCTTTCAGGCAGTGCTGACCAAAGCCGATCCTCGAGGGCCAGCATCCTGCATGTTTTAGTTCTCTCCCTGGTGGTAGTAACAACCTTTTCAGCATTTCAGTGTTCTTCTTAGGCTTTCTAATGAGCCATCATTTGATCCAGGTGCACTAAACCAGGGAGACAACTGAAACATGCAGATGCCGGCCCTCGAGGGCCAACTTTGGGCACCACTGCTTTAAGGTATTTGCAATTGCAGCATTAATTCAACTTAATCAGAAGTCACTGTATTTTGCAAAGGCTGTGGTCAGAAGATGTGAATGAAAAACCAAATTAAACTTTTATTCAATGGAAAAAAATAAACCAGCTCAGCAAATGTTAAGTTGGTCACTGCAGTATTTTTTGTGTGTTTCTGTTGAGATTGAAAAAAAAAATTATTTACTTGTACAATAAGAAAAAAACAACAATAAAAAAATGATTTATTTGCTTTGTTGCTTTATTGTAAAGAGCTTTCAGAGGGGCCTAATCCAGCCCAAGGCCTCGTTAAGCTTTGGGTCGCCTCTGCTGCCGCAGCCGCAGCCCTCCTGCATCATCTGCATCCTCCTCCGCATCCAGCTGCTCTGGAGCATCTGCTTTGACCTAGACTTTCAAAGCAGTCGTCCCTCATTGAATTTAAGACATTCTGGAATTTTTCTGCAGTGATTTTGAGACACAGTAGCAGCTTTGGAGTTTATTTTCTTGACCACCGGGAATAATTATGAGGTAAGTTTCCGGTTGCCGTGTTAGCCGGGGTTCAAGCGTTTGGTCAAACTCTACATGGATTGATTCGCTGTTATTTTTGGACAAAAGCATGTCTCAGCATGTGTATACCTATTTTTTTTTTTTTTTACTATTAGAGAACGATTATTCCTCAAGTTAAAACAGGCACATTCGTTATATGTTCCTTCAGCCTTTTAGCTTAAGCGTCAAACTGCTGGGATTGATTGCAGCTTGTTATTGTTGCAAGCTAACTCTGTCAGTGCTTCACAGATAAACATGAAGTTAGTGAGCTAGAAAAAAAAATTCTAGGCTTTAGTAATTCGGGTAAATGTCAGGAAGTCGCTCAATGTAACTTGCAGTGTTTAGAAAATAGAAAACAGAAAATAGAAACGCACCAGTGAAGTATTACTAGTGTTAGCATGCTATGGTAGCTAAAGCTAAAGTAGAAAGGTCATTCTGGTGCAGACTTCCCATGTTTTAATAAATGTTTGACACCTTTGTCCTCGCAGTGTACACAGACACCTTACAAGATGTCCATTTTTATTTAAGAAGTTCAGAACAAATGTAAGTGTTTAGCCTTTGTTAAAAGTATTTTCTAAACAGTGTTTGTAATGCCTCTAAATTGAGTTTTAAAGAAAAAATATTTGGGGAAACGCTGCTTTTAGACGGTATCCATAAGCAGAAATAGTTTTGGGTTGACTTGGGAGTGTAACTTTGTTCCAACAGTGTTTTATGGATACATTCTCATGTTTTAGAATGACCCTCAGTGACCAAACCTGATTGAAACCAGAGCAGATGTTCAAAGTGCAAACTGGGTACCGTTTGCTGACCTTGTGATGATTTTCTTTTTTTTTGTGGCACCTTGACTGTAGTTTACAGATAGTAGCAATTTGGCCCACCAACTCAGATTGACATTTTCAAAAGTTTATAGTTTGAGTCTTGGAGATGAATTATATTCTTTAAAGATTGAAGCTGTTTGGTGTAATTTGTCTTTTACTTACAACATGCTCAGAAAATGTTAAGTTGGTCACTGCAGTATTGTCAGTAATTGCCTTTAGTGGACCTTTTCTAGGGCCACTAAAGGCCCTACAAATGGCTAAACTTGGCCAAATACTACAAGTGCTTTTTAATATAAGAGTGACTCATTTCCCGTTCTTGTTGTGAAGGATAGAAGAAATAACCCAAACAGAATAGAAAAAAAAACATTCAAACCCACCAGTAATATAAAACTGTGTAATTAAAGGAGCATTTTATTGAAAAAGTAGTATTTTACCATTTTTTGTTTTAAATCTACAATGATTTACATATTCTTGAGGCTAATTTCTTCAAAAATAATGCATGCAAAGCTTGTCTTTGAACAGATAAAAATGAAAAATGCCCCAGTGTACTTTCTCCCACTGTCCATACAGGTAATATTCTCCTTGGTCTCACTAAACTGCTTATTGGTGTGTGTGCATGGTTGTGTATCACTGGGTTGCCATGTGATGTGTGGCAAAAAGTTTGGACACCATTATTTTCAATGTTTGCCTGGTTCACCACACCTGAATTAAGAAACGCCTCATTTGCAGGTTTCTGCAGAACTTGAAATGCTGAAGAAGTAATGCAATAATTTTTAAAAGTGTAGAGAATGATCTATAGCAAGGATTGTTTTACATAGAAGTTGCATGTTTTCCCTGTACATGGTTGGGTTCTCTCTGGGTTGGCAGAAACTGTTGGGTCACCTTGCAAGGATAAAGTGGTTAGATTTATCATGACATGATCATGTAAAATATTTTCCCATAAAAAGAAAAACTGTTACTTTTGTGGACAACAAAAATATAAATAGTGCGTCAATAACTGACTAATTTGAAGAAGTGAAGGATTTACATTTTAGTTAGTGGTGACCTTTTGCATGCATTGTTTGAACATTTCCAGTGAGTCTTATCAGCTCTCCTCGGAACAGTTGTGGGATTTTTTTTTTAGTGTTGTAATATAAAGGCGACACAAAGCACTTAATAGCTTTTTCGACAATGTAAAAGTTTCAAATTTGTGCGCTGAAGCTGATAAATAGGCCTTTTTGTAACGGGAGAAATGCTCCAAGCAATTAGTTTATTCATGACCTTTGCATGCTATACTTGATTAGACATCTATTTTCCAGTGTGAAAAAGAATGTGCAGTAACCTTTTCATAGTATTTTTACAAAAGAAGAGCTTGACATGGTTAACATTTGTCCACAACTTTTTATTTTTCTCACTGTTGGCCTAAATGGACGCTGAAGTGTTTCCTTTTGAGTGTGGCGTTTTATTAAATCCTAACTTCATTCTCTTCCTGTTCAAGGCGTGACAGAGACCGGGATCGTGACAGGAACCGGGATCGGAACTGTAACAGGGGCCGAGACGTGAAGTCAGGCGACGACCCCGTCGCCTCGGCTGCAGCCAGTTGGAGTTTTGTGAACCGACCTCCCGTTCAGCAGCAGATAAACCCCTTCACCAACCTGCCCCACACACCACGCTACCATGAGATCCTAAAGAAGCGGCAGCAGCTCCCAGTCTGGGAGTACAGAGACGTCTTTACAGAAATCTTGATGCGGAACCAGTCGTTCGTGCTGGTCGGAGAGACGGGCTCTGGAAAAACCACGCAGGTAGAGGCACGGGGCATGCTAAAATTTTGAAATGCAGCAGCTATCAGTTGCCCCCCTAAACCAGACTTTTAATGAACTGACCCAACTATGTCACAGTAAATTTAGAGGCTGGCTCTGGGTGGTTAAAATTGCTTTAATGTTATCATAAAAAGATATCGATACTATGAATGATTCATGTATTTTCATTGGGTTGTTTTAAGATTTGATTCCCAGTTAGCTAACCTTAAGTCTTAAGTGGTTTAAGCAAGCAGACAGGCAGTGTGTATGTGTTTTTTTTTTCTTTCTTTTTTTTTAAATTTGCAGGAGAAGATTAGAGTAAATCACAGAGTCTGTGCCTCATCCTGAGATGAATATAAACGATCCTGCAAAGTGGAGTGGTTTAAGTGTGTAGATGGGTTCTGCACTGATGATGCTTAAAAATCTGTGCTGTGAATATTTGGGTTCGTTTTATGCAGTTTACTGATGCATGAAAGTTGGGGAAATTAACTTTTTTTCTCCCCCCAAATACAAATACTTACTTAGATTGGGAAAAAAAGGCAAAAGTTTAAAGGAAATTAAATTTATTTATTTTACTTTTTAGTAACCTACATGCTAGTTAACTTTAAAATTTATTTATATCTAAAATCCCAATTGTAACCAAAGATGAACCAGAAAAGTAGCTGGAAGCGCGGTGCATTTTCTTGTTGAAAAAGATGAACTTTAATTTTTTGGGCAAAGAATAAAAACATTTTTTCATGTAATTTGCAGTTCTCAAAGCAAAATTAGAATGGAAAACTGAAACTCCCAGTAATAACATTAGAATCTTTCTTTTCAAAACAATATGTGCATTCAAACCATGGATATGTATATTGCAAATGCAAATGTATGTCAATGATTTAAACCCATTAACTAAACAAGTGTTCGGTGGTACTGTTTTTTTTTCTGCTCATGTGAAGCACGAACAAAATGTAACTTTTCTCCTGTCCTGCAGATCCCACAGTGGTGTGTAGACATGGTGCGTTCGCTGCAGGGACCGAGGAGAGCGGTAGCCTGCACCCAGCCCAGGCGGGTGGCGGCGATGAGCGTCGCCCAGAGGGTGTCAGATGAGATGGATGTCATGCTGGGTCAAGAGGTGGGCTACTCCATCAGGTTTGAGGACTGCAGCTCTGCCAAAACTGTATTAAAGTAAGTAGTTATTACATAAAATTTCACTAGGGCATTAAAATATGGCTGCTTTTGACGATGATGATGACGATTTTTATAGTGACTAACCTCCTAAGTAACTGATTATTCTAATCTTAAATTATTAGTTGGCTTTGTCTTCAAAATTGGATGCTTGTTTTGTACCACAAAATTGAAATAGAAGCAACAAAATATAAAAGTACAAAATATCAAATCTATACTATTGACAGATTTAAAGACAGCCTCAATGTTTGGATAAGTGCAAAATTAAAGGTAAATCTGGAGACTATGTCTCTAATCTATAATTAGAACCCATGTGTGAATTGTATTTTTTAACTGCAGCTATGCTTTATGAATTTGTGTGATCCAAATGTGATTCATTAACATTATTTACACGACTAAACATTAAGCCTGCACATTAACCCACGCAGTCATCTGTCAGAAGATGAGTTTTCATGCCAGTTTGAAAGTCTTCTCCAACATTTATTTGGAGAAAATATAAGAAAATGTTTCTAATCCTCTTCAGTGCATTCAGTTCTGTTTTTACTATTGGCTTACTGATAGCCAGCTGAGTGTCTCCTTCTCAAGTACTGAAGTATTCTCCAGCATTGAACCTTGAGACCTGTGGAAAAACTTTAAACTTTTAGAACTAAGCTCATTCAAAATTGAAGCAAGTGGATTTTCTGCCATATTATTATTTTTTTTTTAATTGTAACTTTAACAGAAAAAAAGTGTGGAGCCAAACTGATGTGGAACTCACAAATACATATAATCTGCACTGCTACCTTTTTATATTTTTGTTGAAAAGTTTAATAAATTAAAATACAATATTGAAAAGTTAACTTGGAGTATTAATGTTAAGATTATTTGCTGTGCAGCCCTATATTGAAATGTTCATTTTATAAGATATTGAAATATTTCAGTGTCAACTGACATCTTGAAATGTGGCCATCATTACCCAACCAACTGCTTTTTAAGTGTTTAGTAATATTAGAGTTGTTATAATTTTTTTTAGAAGTTTAGAAGTCTGTAGAGAAGTCGGTATATTACTTGTTCTATCTCTGTGTCTAAGGTAGGGACAACTATAAATAGGTCTGAAAAGGAAAATGCATCTCTCTTTTTTTTCCCTTTATTTTAAGCAGGTTTTATCAGATATTGTAGCTGTAGATAACGATAAAGAATCAGTGTACTGCTAAGTTAGTGTTGGCACCGTATCCTCTTTTTGCTCAGGTACATGACAGATGGAATGTTGCTGCGGGAGGCTATGAACGATCCCCTGCTGGAGCGCTATGGTGTCATCATTCTGGACGAGGCCCACGAACGCACATTAGCCACAGACATCCTCATGGGGGTTCTTAAGGAAGTAGTCCGCCAGAGGTCTGACCTCAAGGTAGAAACCAGCTCACAGAAATCTCCTGAGTTTTTCTTTACTCTCTGCTTTATTTCTAGGATGTAATTTCAGGGTCAGGTGCTGCAGTTGTTTGTTTTTTTTACTGCTTGCAGATTTATTTCACAGACATAACCTTTGGTTTCCCACAAATATTGAGTTTATCTCTTGTAAAGCTACATTTCAGCCCTAAATATTACTTCCTCCAAGAATGAATTCAGAGAAGAAGAGGATTTATTTCCCACCTCTCTCCCTTTTTCCTGTTGTTGTGGTTTTCTGACTAAGTCTCCATGTTGTGGAAAGAGAAATGCTGCTGTTAAACTCAGGAACACCCATTTTTGTGCACCGCAGTAGCAGCATAGATCGCTCCTAGAATCACCTACTGTTTTCAGCCGGTCAACCAGGAGGAAAACAGCAACTGTCGGCATCGATGTGATGATCGTAAAGGCAGGCAGAAGTTTTATGGTCTCGCGTGTGCCAGATATAATTTTCATAAAGCAGATGGATAATGACTAGTTGTTTGTCAGAGTGAAATCAAAGGTTAGATTGTTGTTCGCAGACTGTTAAATGAGCTCTAGGTTATTGGGAATGATCATCCACCCACTCCCCTTATCTCCTTCATCCCTATCGCTCACCAAATTTGAAAGTTTAATTTGCCTTGATTAAGAGCAATTAGGATCTCTTGCAGAGCGTAAAGCGAAATGCAGAGACGCTGGCCCCTGAAAATATTAGAGATTGAAAATGGGAGTCGTGTTTCCCATCAGAATCCTAATGCACACAGGCTAATGGCTCTGTTTAAGAACGCCGTGTACCTGGCAACAGGAACAGGGTCTGCCATAGATCTTTGTAGGTCAGTTACTTGGATTGCAATGCTCTAGTGTACATTATAGACTCTGTATTCGGTTTGTGCCAGAGTTCTCTTTCAAAATTAAAATTTGTTGCATCATTCATGCCATAGAAGGATGCAGACACATTAATCACAATTTTAATTCCATCCTTGTCTTCTTAGAACTTGTCCTACTGCATAATTGGCAAGACAACGAAACTATTTTCTCTTGTATGCTCAGACCTATTATTACACAAACTCATTACTTAAATTTTTCACATGAACACTGTGCGCCTCGCCGACAAGCTGCCACGTCCTGTTTTCTGCTCAGGTCATCGTCATGAGTGCGACGCTGGACGCCGGAAAGTTCCAAGTGTATTTTGACAACTGCCCGCTGCTAACCATCCCTGGACGCACGCACCCCGTGGAGATTTTTTACACACCGGAGCCCGAGCGAGACTACCTGGAGGCGGCCATCCGCACCGTGATCCAGATCCATATGTGTGAGGAAGAAAAGGGGGACATTCTGCTCTTCCTCACTGGACAGGAGGTACCTCCCCCAGACAAAATGAGAAAAAAAATCTTTTGTGATTTAGAGGGTTCCTGGAAAGTATCCAACATTTTTTTGGTAGTAGGTATTTTATTTTCCAAATCTGGATAAGTATAGAAAAATATGTCTTCCTTGTGGAAAAAAAGGTGCGTACCAGCTTTCCTGAGTAGCCAGAATAACAATGTATGTTATTTCTTATACATCATTTTAGTAAATAATTCAGTGGTATTATCGGTAACTATAATGACAATATCAAATTCAATACATGCACATTCTCCTCCCTTCTTTTTTTCTCTTTGTGATGATTAGCATCTTGCTCTTGTATTCTGTGAGCTTCTACAGCAGTAAGGCTCCAACCAACAGGCATAATATTAAATTTCCATTCAAGCTTGAATTCATGACTTTGGAAATACATTAGTTCAACAATTACTGCATTCCAGTCCTGAGCAGTGTTAATAATGCATGCGCTGATACTGTAATAACAATATAATGATATCTTGTGCATTCTCAACGTGCACTCTATTTTAGTTCTTAAAGTTTATGTATCATGACATTAAAGAAAGAATTTTGTTCCTAAATTTCACCTAAATTGAAGACTTAATGAGCTACTACAGTTTATGTACAAATAAGTATAGTACATGATGTATTTACCTTCTATATGACCTTATCAGCCTCTCACTTTGTTTGATGGGATATTGGCCGCCTCTTTACAAGTTGCTTCAGTTCATTGAGGTTTTATGGGGCATAGTTTATGCACGGCATTAACATTTGCTCTTACAGAGGAAATGGAAGGTTAAATGATCTTAACAAGTTGGATTTCCCCTCTGCAAAACTTTGAAGTTCTATGAATTTTTAAATGTGTGGAATTTTTTGAGCATGCTGTGTTTTGCAAAAGTATCTTTACTCCATAAAAAAGTTCAGTATACTTTTTTGGCATTTAATCTGATGAAGAACTATTCTAGCCCTCAATCCAGCTAAATAAAATTAGTTTAAATCCATAGACATTACATGACCTTTTGAAAAAAGATAACGTATAATATTTTGATAAATATCTGCCATAGGAATTTGTTGACATTCTTTTTAAAGAACCACCATTTCATTTCAATTTACAGGTGGAAAAAATAAAGCTTATGCTAAAAGTGAATACATACGTTTACTTTGAGGTAATGTTCATATTTATGGAAAAGTAAGTACAAACATATTTTCAAAACCAAGACGTGAAAAATTTATCTTAAATAATATTACTGGTATACTTAGTGTCATTCTGTTGTGGGAATTAAATGCAATTATTCCATAAAAAATGAAAAACTGCTAAAACAAGGATTTGTTATTATTTCTAAGTTGAAAAATACCAGTTGAAGTTTCTAGCTAACATTTAAAGAGCAATTGTGGAAAGCCCAGGGAGCTGCAGGTTGGTGAACATTGTTGGGGGCAATACTAAAAAGGCAACATAATGAAGCATAAGCAAAAAAGGATGGATGATATTTTAAGATATTTCACAAATAAAAATCTGCAGTTTGGTGCATTTGTATTCAGCCCCACATGTCCATACGTCATTGAACTATTTTCTGCAGTTAATTTCAAGTCCTATGCATTATTTCTCTACCAGCTTTGGAAACATTTTTGTCCATTCTTTGTGACAAATTGGTTACAATTCAGTCTTGTTGAACAGAAAGTGTCTTTGAATAGCAATAAGCAAATCTTTTTCCTCATATATTGTGTATTGTGACACATTAATATGGTTTGATCTTAGCCTTTATATTAAGCTCTGTCTGTCAAACGTTTTCCAGCCACTAACAGATTCTTTTTTCTCAAAAATTGCCCTGCGTTTAATTCCTGACCTTTCTCTCTGACTCAGCTGAGGTATAACATTCCCAGAGCATGGTGCTGCAACCACCAAGATTTAATGTGTTTAAGCTTGAAGCGGATTGCTAGTGTTCTGCCACACAGGGTGGTCAGGATTTGGACTATTTAGAAATGTTCAAATTGGCAATACCTTAGAATTAAACAGTGTACTTTTACCACTATGAATCCTAAATGTTAACATGGAAACTGAAAAAATAGGCACACTTGACAAAATATCTCTAATCCTTTGATGAATAAATGACTTGGCTGTCTGTGACTCTGGCTCGTTGGAAATCATCAGGATTTGTGCTGCAAATGTAAAAAAAGAAGACAAGTGACCCAGATTCCAACCTTCTCACAAATCTCTGAAATTAAGTCATTATTTTTCCCCCTCCTGCAAATGTCGTCCACTGATGTGTAATGGAGGGCAGGGTCCATGCCCAAAGTGATGAATTTGGTCACAGCTGGGTGGACACACACGCGCGCAGAAAAGCACCAACAAATGTCTCAATCTCCTGATCAGTGGAGAGGAGAAGCCTGTCGGATCCAGCAGCGCCTTTTGCTGCCATGATTAGTTTCTCAGCTCTTTGACGGAATACTGTTGGAGAACATTTAATCAAAAGTGGTTGTATTGGCAAGCATCACTGGTGGAGACAGATACACACATTGGACTCAATTTTGGTGCTTAGGTTAGACAAGTTTATTTCATTAAAGCGCACTTTAAATCCGAGGGCTTTACGGAAAAACAAAACGACAAAGTTACAACAAATAAATAAATATACAACATTTAAGCGTCACATGAAACTTATGCACCACATAAACAGTTAAAATCAAAAACACTAAGAGACAAAGCAAACCGATAGAGATTTTTGATTTCTACAGGCGTCATGATTCCTCCAAACATCTCAAGTGTTATAGAGGCCAATATCTTCCCTACACCGAAGCATGGTGGTGGCAGCATTATGGTATGGGGTTGCTGTGATGTAGCAGAAACTGGCAGACTCCACATCGCTCTTGACCTCAGAGTGGGGTGACTGTTCATATTGTTTGTTTTTTATCTTGTGGGTGTATTGTTTATAATTCTCTAAAGCACGTTGAGGTGCTTTTAGCATGAATGGTGACAACTAGAATTTTAGGGAAATAGATGAATCTACTACAATCTAGAATAAGGCTGTGATGCAAAGAAATATGGAAAAAGTGTAGCGCTGCGGAAACTTTCCAGATTCAGTGGATGTCCTCCAGAATCTTAAACCTGTTGCAGCATAACTAAAGAGATAGTTTAGGATAATCTGAGCCTGTAAACTGTAAGCTTTATCAAAAAGGAAAGTGAAAGTGGACAGGGTGTCTGCCACCTGGACAAAAACTGGGAGCTATTTCCACTGGAGAGCAGCTTGTTCCTCCCAGTCTATTTTTAGAAACTTGAGGAACCACCAGTGAACCTGCAGTCCGAGAAGCAAGTGCCGTGTTGGCCACTCAAATGATGTCATGTCGTTCTGACTTCCCCAGTCACATTTTCTCGCTGGTTGTTTATTACCAGTAATTATCTGGCATTTGACACCAGCTTGGCTGTTGTAGAACACCTACGTCAGTATTAATTTGTCAAACCAAGATCGATATGCAGCTTGTTACAAACAAGATCAAGTCATTGGGCGGCGTAGTGCTTGAAGTGGTCTCCTTTGAGGATTGGTAATTGATTTTAGAATAAGTGGTATCCCAGCTGAAACATTGATCGTCCCTCCCGTGACTGACTTGGAAAAAGTCTAAGATATTTTCAGCCAAAGTGTTAAAGATTTTCTCTTTTTTTGTGGTTAGATGTAATTTGTTGATTTATATTCCACAACCCCATGCTGTGTAAAGCTCAGGCATAACAGAGAGCGCTCCCATGGTGAGTTCATTATCACCCTCTCCTAATTGGGTTAAAGAAGTTAATGTGTTGTAGGTCTGGCAGAGATGGCTGTTCAAAGGGTGCAGCAGTGTGCCCCTCAAGCGCTTCTTAACCTCTTCAGTCTCCCAGCAACTTTGATGTAGACTAATGATTTGGAGGCAGATCCATGGCAAAGCCATAGATTCTTTTTATCTGACTGTTTAATTTATATCAGAGGGGAAGCAAGCGCAAACGACCACGTAGCTCTCTCCTCCTCGGCTTTTCTGAGAGATATTTGGCTTCCACAAACAAACAGAACTGAAGCGCCAGCTACAAATGAGAAAGTTGAAACTTATCACAGCTGTCGAGAGTAGATAAGTCCTAATATTTAAGCTTCCCCCTCAGCAGCTAACATCAAAAAAACTGGAGGATTTGTGGGGGTTGAGGCGGGGGTGTTGTTTGCTTGTCAAGGAGGGTGCCCAAATGTGTTGGTACTTTAGCTTGGCTAGTTAGATTCTTGCTTCTGGGGTCACAGGCAGAGCTGGTGGACGGGTTCCCAATGCTGGACAAATGTTTATGCACGTGCACACACACGCGTACACGCACACTTTGTCTTCAAATCCCTACAGGACAGACAGCCAGCTTGCTTCCAGCGCTTTGGCAAAGAGGTTATTTATTTATTTTTTTTCGTGGCAGCTGCTGCATCCAGAAGCTTGATAGGCTATTAATACTGAGGCTAATTTTACCGATCCATTCAGATTTAGCGTTTTCCACGTGTCAGCGTGTTGATTAAGAGGCACATGGCCATCGGAGAGCCCCGACTTGATTTGATGAACAAGAGGACAAACCGGGCTAATAACCTATTTACAGTCCTGATGGGAAGAAAAGGAAATCCAGGCTTCTGCAGGGTATTAAAAAGTCTAAAATTTAATCTTCTCAATATTGGGCTCTAAAAAGTCTTAGATATATACAGATTTTTCATACGATGTTTTAAATTATATGTTAAATTAGTTCCATCATAGATCCATCGTCTTTTTAAAAAAAAATCTTTTAGCATCACTCATTGTAGTTCTGACTGTTATGTCAATGTCAAATTAGTGTTATTATACTGTGACAAAACTACATAACCCATAATGTAAACATAATTCAAACAGCCCTACTGGAATAATAAACATACAGTTTTCCTCACAAACATGGTTAACTGGGTTAAATTTGTAGTAAATTTTTGTAAATTTCAGACAAAATTTTTTTAAAAATATGTTATTTGTTGTAATAGGAGATCAACTACAAGGTTTGTCATGGAAAAAAATGATTTCAATAAATGACTAAAACTTGTTGTTAATGACCAGTATACTGCACATCACTGTATAAGAAGTCACTGAAGATACATAAAGCTTTTAATGCATAAAGCTTTTAAATGTGACTTCTTCACATTTTGTCAAACGTAAATATTTGTTGTTGGGTTCTTACTTTATTTTTACAATTAGAACTCTGTAGTTCCTTTTGTATTTAGCTCACCAACATTTTTGACCATTCTTCTTTAAGATGGTGATTGTCTGATCAATTTAAAATGATGACCCTAGATTCTCAATTGGGATCTGGGCAGAATTTGGACTAGAATATTCTTTCATTTGAATATTCCAAAACATTGCATTGGAGCTCTGGCTGTCCTTAGGCTCTTTGTCCTGCAGGATGGTGAATCTATGTCCCCGTTTTCAGTCTTCTGCAGCCTCTCAACAGGATCAACTCTGACCGACTTTGCTTTTCCTGCTGATGAAAAGCATTCCCACACCATGATAGTGCCACCATCATGTCTCAGTGTGGGCATAGTGATATGCAGTACTGGTTTTGAGGACATTTCACGCTTCCAGATGTTTTGCTGTGTACTCCACGTAAAACTGTAGTAAACTGCAAGTGGGATTTCTTACAGCTTGTTGCCAACAATGGCTTTTCTCTGAATAGCCTTTCACAACGGGCTTGCCTCGCCTGTCATTTTAAATGGATGCTCACGTCTTTGTAGGTTTGCAGTTATGGAACAACTTCCATTTCTTTTGGACAAAGTTTAAACTATATAAATGACTTTTCTAATTATGAAAACAGTTGGCTGCCCCGTGGACTGGATAAAAATTCATCACATAGATTGTATCTTGTAACAAATCATCCCAAAGTGATTTTAAAAAATTCTTCAAGTGAACTTGTCAAACTTGAAAAAGTTTGAGAGGTACTTTATCATAGCATTATCAGTTTTCTTTAAAGAAGTTTAGGAACAGGATGTTCATGAACATTTTGTAAGTCATAAATGTCACTTTTTTTGGCTGGATCTTTGGTACACTGTTAAACCATTGTTGCTTCTAGTACTTGTTCTGAGGCATAAATTTTAGGCTTGTTACTCTGAGTGCCTTCATTGCAACTCTTTGAAAAGTTGCTGCAGTGCTCCCGTGGGCCTGTAGGTGGTGCAACAGCATAAGCAGCAAGGTGTCACGCGGAGGAGCTGCAGCACGTTGAAGATGAAATGATTGTTGCTTGGAACATAATGAAATGGTTCCTAACTGGGACTAGCTTAAAAAAAAAAAAAAAAAAAAAAACTAAATGTGTTGACAGCTTTGTTTTATGCTGCAAACTGTTCAGAACTTTGAACAGTTGTTAAAAGATGGAATTGTCTGTGTTACAATAGAATGAAAGAAAAATGAATCAATCTTTATGTTGTTAGGCAAAAGGCTTTGTGGAATATTTATAATGTATTTTTCCTATTACTTTTAATATGCTGTTAGAGAATAGGCTCCAAATTTGTATTTCCTATCCTCATTCCTGGCGCTACTCACGGCTTCTGTCTGCCAACCCACCGGCTCTTGAACGTTCAGCTCCACTAAACTGATCTGCCATGATTTGCCGCTGGTTATGCATCAATGCTGCAGTCTCATATCACATTCCCCTCTACAATACTGCGCTGTGGAATAATAAACCCCGTTTGAGTGTGTCTGGCTCTGCACGTTTGTGCCTTCCGAGCGTGGTCGTCTGTGTTTTCCATGATTGCTGCATTTGACAACAGAGCCACAGGGAGCTCAGCAAAGCGTGCTGCAGTCCAAGTTTAATTTCCTCCATCAGATGGAACGATAGTTAGAACAAATGTACTGTAGCAGGGAACCACGGTTTCCCCGGCTCCATTCTTATTTCTTCCCCTCTGTCGCATCCGCCCACTTCCATTGTTAATCCAGGTGTTGCTCAGAACCTGGCTGGTTTTGTGTTTGCATATACTGGAGGTTCAGGGAACAATTGTGGTCCTTTCATCTTTCAGGAAATCGACGAAGCCTGCAAGCGAATCGAGCGTGAGGTCGACAACCTGGGGCCCCAAGTCGGCAATATGAAAATCATCCCCCTGTACTCCACCCTACCACCGCAGCAGCAGCAGAGAATCTTTGAGCCGCCTCCACCAAATGAACCAAACGGCGCCATTGGAAGAAAGGTAAGGCAGCTCCGCTGGTACAAAATTGCTTGCAGGAAGCAAGCGAGGGAGAGAGTTAGGGGAGGCCAGATGGGGGAAAATAGGAGAGCTAAAAAGGTGGAAAGTTTTTTTTTTTTCTCCCCCTCTCTTCCTTTTTTCTCAGCTTCAGCACAGAACTGACTCACGCAACATATGCTGCTTTTGTAAGCATGTGATTCTGTGCTCTAAATTATATCTGGAATATTACTCACACCCTGTGAGCCGGGGGGAAGCGCTCCATTCCTATCGTTTTATCCCTACACTCAAAAGTGTGCAAAAACTGTGTGAAGGTATGCTACGCATCTCGTTCTTTCTCATTTTATCTCACGCTCTTATTGATAGACACGAAAGAGCTCCTCCTTTTTTGTGTGCCAGTTTCTATTCAGATGGGCTCATCGCTGTAGTAGTATCTCCAGCTGCACTGTCACACTGTTGGCTTGGGATCTGAGAGAATACAAGACCATCACCAGTGCCAGAGAATGAGCAAACACTCAGCCCCAACAGCTGATAGAGGACGGTGTTGATGAATGAGTCATTGCTACAACCCTGCTAATTGAGCCAGATCAGACTGAAATGAGCAGCGAAAGTATTCATGCACTGTCAAAGTTGAGCTCATTGTGATACATCAAAAAATACTCGGCTCAGACCGGATGGCGTGACTGATAGATTGACTGAATTGATGTTGGATTTTGTGATGCTTGAAATATGAATGTTGCCCCATGCAAGTTCACTGTCAAGCCTTTGAGAAAGAAAGTTTACCTTTATCTTCAACATATGAGATTTTGCCTGGTTTTGTTTGCAAAACAGCTCTAACACAGCCAAAGTGGATGGAGAACACTTGTGAGCATCAGTTTATGAATTGACATAGATTCAGAAGTGGATTTAGATGTAATACATGACAATACTTTGATTTAAAGTATTCCACTGTAGCTCTAGCTGCTTGTTTAACATCACTATATCTGGGAGGTGAAGCTCTATCCATTCTGCAACAAGTTTTCTTCTGGGATTGCCCTTTGTTTAGCTTCATCCATCTTCCAATCAACTCTAGGAAACTCCTTTGTCCCATAGCTAATTATAAAAAACATAATTTCTCTTTTGGGATGGTATTTTTATTAAGATATGTAGTCTAAGTTTTCCACTACACTGATCTAACCTGAGCAACTTCTTCTGGCTTTCTGTCAATAATTGCTTTCTTCTTTGCATTATTCCAGAAAATTCTGCAATGTTTTTTTTTTTCATGACGTTGTGATGATTATTGAGCACAGTTCAAACTGTGATGGTCTGAAATGCGCTTGTGAGGCATTCTAAGTTTGTGATGCTGATTTATTACCTACCCTCTTCTTCAAACTTCTTAAATTTATCTCTGACTATCTTCTGTATTTTTGTGATGCTGTTCATTCACTGATGTTCTCTAACAAACCTCTGAGGGCCTCAAATAAGACCAGGATTTACACTGAGATTAGGTCACTCACAGGTCAACTCTCTTTAATTAGGCGACTTAAAAAAGCCAATTGCATTAAAAGGAGTTAACTGGGCGGAATTTTAATCCTCACCCCATTTTCTTTTTTTTGTTTTGATAAGACTTAAATGAATGGATAGATAGAAGAAAATAGGTGCACACAAACAGTATACACCTATACTGTTTTGGTATGTATGTACTTTGGTGAAAGTCATGGCTCGGTACATTAATGGTTTGTTCAAATTTGTTTGAAGAGAAACTTCTAAAAAACACAAACTGTAGCACGAAACTTGACTGTAGTTTGACTTTTTGTTTAAAATAAGAGCTAAGCAGTTATGGTGGATGGTACAGTTAGCAAATGCTGGGCCTGTGTGGTTCAAATGGTGGAGTGAAAGCACCATGTTGAGACTGTTCAAAACCCAGTGTTGGTCATTTGCTGCATATTTTTCCCTCTTTCCTGTCTGGTTACTGTTTTAATATGAACCACAAATGTCAAGAGATGCAAATGTTGTCTAAGAAGATTTTCAAAAAGATTTTGATTTTAACTTTAGTAGGTTTTTCTTCAGTATCATGGATGTCTATGTTCAGCTTGACATTGTTTCAGATGAGTAATTCAAGCTACATACTTGTTGCTTTAAAACGTTTTAGTAACAAGTTTTGGTTCAGTTCACCTTTCTTTTTCCAATGTAGCTGCATCAAAAACCTTAATTTTCCCAAACAGTGGAGTTTAGTAAGAGGTGGGAGAGGTCCTCTCACTTTTTTACTTATTAACGTTGAGGTACGACACGTTGCATTGAACACTTAATTCTACACATGAGCATTCTACACAAACATGCCTCACTTTAGCATCCTCCAATATGAGCTAGAGAGAATTGCTTGGTATGTATGTCTAGATTACGGTAATATTCCTAAAGGAGATATTATGATTGTTTCGTGAGTGTGAGTCTTTTTAACAGCACTTAAGATGTTACTTTATGTTAAATATTATTCCACATCACCATAAACCACAAATGTTCATATGAGGATGAACTGAAATCCAGTAAATAAAGTCAAGGAGTCTGAAGTTTATGCCCAGCAACCAGTTTAAACTTCAGAAGGGTACAGTTTGTCTCTTTTTTTCCCCCCCAGACTCAATTTGTCAGGGTCTCGTTGAATTGGCGAGGTGGCATCTAAAGTTGCCGTCCTTGAAGTAAATGTGCTTCTCTTCAGTGACTGACTGAGCAACTCATCAAGTGAAAAATGTAGAGATGTCATCCAAGCCAGCCCAAGAGGAAGTAGTGAAAAAGAATTAAGGTTCGCCACATCTGCTGCTACGCATGCTAACGACTGCATTAGGCACCCCTCAATTAACATAAAGCACCGGCTCGTCATTGCTCCATTTCTCTTGGAAAGCTACTCGTCTTCCATTTTTGAACAGTTTAATCATCTTAAAGCAAGGCAGGAGTTGACTAATCACTAACAGCAGCTGTAATCTCACTTAGCGCTCCAAAATTTGAAATATATTCCCTAATAAATGGGCTGTAGTTGGTTTTGGGATTTTTGTCTCATCAATGACATCTTTTAAGCCCTCTGCCTGATGTTACTTAAGATGCTGCCACGTATCCGTTTCATTGGGCTCCAAATGTGAGCGCATCACGGTGTTCTCCTCCCTTCGTCGGTGGAAGGCTTTATTTGTCAACACGGCTGTGCTTCCCAGCAGGGAACGTGAAAAATGGCCCATTTTAGCTATAGAGCATGCTCTCCTGCAGGTAATAACCCAGAAATAACATGCAGAGATGATGCTCTAATGATATTACTGATGAAGAAGCCCGGATTATCCAGTGCAGCAACAGACTGGAAGGAGCCAGCCTGCGTTCAGTGTAATGGCCCCAGCCCGGATAATCCTTCAGAATCAATGCAGTCAATGAGGCCACCCATACGATCATGAAATGTGAGAGGGTGTCATGTGCGGCATCTGCTGGAGCACCCACTGTGACCCAATACTCCAGACAGAGGCAGCCTCCGCTGGTCCATTTTTTTTGTAGACAGACGTTGAAGCATTCCTATCTCTTTGATTCCTTAGGATGGTGATGGGTGCCGGCACGGAGCATCCTTCACAGTACTCCTGTTACAGTAAAGCAAAATGAGTTCATCTATGAAGCACATTCAGAGCCTGATAGATGGTGCAAAACTGGATAAAGACATAATAGAAAGGTTTGAAGTAGGCAGTGGTTGGTGTGACATTCTCACAGTGTGATAACTAAGTTTTGTGCAATCAAAAGTTAAAAACAATGGTTTAAATCAAAAGCCTATTACCTGACCCAGCTTGACAACTGCAGTTATATTTGTCAGTGTAGTTTGTCTTTAAAGTCAAAGTTTGAAACTGGGACTGACTTCACACCCAAATAGAGCGAGTTCTGTTTGCAAGGAGACTTCAGTTCCTCTGGGATTTGCTAATTTGTTTTAATTTTTGATGATCAAACACTCAGGGAACATGCTATTAAATAAATATTGAACAGCTATGTGTGTGCCTGAAGCTTAATGAGATTCAAACTGTCAGAGGTGTTAATTATTAGTTTATACCTGCGACTGCCGTATTGGAGAGAGAATTCAAGGCTGCCTGGTGACCTCACAGGGGCGACCTTGATTTATTCGAGACTGAGAACTTGAGCAATCTGACTTCTGAGTACAAAGGGAAGAAACAATAAGACAGCCTTATCTTGTTTGTTTTAAAATACTTCCAAACAGTTAATTTAACCTTTTTTTTCTTTTTTTTGTAAGAATGAGTAAAACATTCTATCCATTTTTCACCCAGCTGATGAGGTCTGTGAAGCAACAGGTGGGGGAGGATGAGGCCAGTAAACTACAATCACATTCTCTGGTAGTAATGCACAGTGAGGTTATGACAAGCTGATATTAGCTGGTTAATTAGTGCTGAGTTGCCAGCCTTCAGTCAGCTGCTTAACAAACATGTTGTTCAGTTTTTGCCACTGTAGTTTTTAAACAGTGTCACCTAACTGAAAACAGTGTTTATTTTGTTTGTTTGTTATAATGTTTTTTAAAAGCAGATTCATAGAAATCTTCTTTTAGGCACTTTTTCTGATTTCTTATTAAAAGAACTTTAAACCATAGCAACAATATAACTTACAATTCAAGCGATTTTGAAGCCTTGGTATAACTTTGAAATGGAAATCGGCCCATTCCTTGCTTCAACGGTGTGTTTCTATGGGTCACTTGGAAAAAAAAAATGGTTCCACTAAAGCCATAAAACTGGACCAAAGTAAATGATTTACCTTTGAACTGAGCAGCTGATGTATTACTTAGTAGATAGCCTTTTTGATTTATAGCTATTAAATGTGATAATTTGTCAGGGGATGCGTTCACATCTTGACAGCCAAGAATTATGCATATAACAGCCAATTTTTATAAGTTTCTACCCAGCGTTTATTTCCATCTCTTCATTTTTCGCCTTGAATACTAAGGGGGAATGTGCCGTTCGACAGGTGAATTACTCGAGGTCAGAGGCAGAATGATAGGGGGGAAAAGGCTGTCTCTGGCATTAATAACTAAACAGTGAGGCATTCTCAGGCTGCAGAGAAATCCTCACTTAAAAGGTGGGATTTAAAAGTCTCCAAGGCTCTCGGCTTGAAGACAGCTGAAGAGGCACGGCTACAAAGGAAGTGTGTCAAGTGTGCAAAATTGGTTCTGTGGACGTGTATCAGCAAAGACTACATTTGATGTTTGGTTCTGTGCTTGCCATTTTATGATGAGGACTACCAAGAAAGTGGACGGGAACCTTTAAACGTCCACTCAGTTTTGTAATTTTATGGTCTGTTTACGTTTTGGTGCACGTTAAATGAGTAAATCGGCAACATTGTTTTTAATAAGCAGTGACACTGATGTCAGGGCGTCTTGTAAAAAGTGAAGATTTAATCGAGTTTCTTTACCCAGACCGTCTCCAGGGTTATTTATGGAGAAGATTCCCCAGCAGCATCAAAGTTTGCGTGAGAGCAGCAGAAACTGTCTCATCTTCCTTCCCTTCTCCCTCTACCCCCCGTCTGCATGCATCCCAACAGCTAACAGACTCCGGGTGATGTGACTCATTGGATAATTTTGCTTTGATTCAACTGTCATTTCCCATGCACATCTTTGCTATAAGGGACGATTGTAGATTTGAAACTGCTACATGGAACTGGTTCACAATTTTCCCACTGGTCATGTTCTTGGAACCCCAGCAGCTTTTCATCACACTGCTGTTTTTCCTTTCTTGTTCTCCTTCTCGCAACAAATACACAGCAGTAAAAAGATATTGACTGAGCACATTTCCTTCACAGCTAAACATCCAACATGCCACTGTTTACCATTAAAGCAGCAAAAGACGCTGTCTGGGTTGTGTTGTTTTTTAACGGAAGAAAGCGTATTGATGCAGCTCTGTCTTATTTGTTTTTAATACTACATTATCAAATGCAGTTGTAAGATTTTAGGTGTTAGAGTTAGGATTATGGTATTCCTTAACAAGAAAAATGATTAAATAATTAGCAATGGATGCAGATAAGTCCAGGACCCCTCCATCCATCCATTCATCTGAACACTGACCTAGATGGAAACACATGCCATAAATTACTGACAACTTCAACATTTGTACCTTAAAAAGGATTAAACATTTGCAAACACTGGATTTGAGTAAATATGGCAAGGAGAACTTGCATTGAGGTATGAAAGTATCTCTGTCTTTGTATTGATCTTCTTTACACCATTCATGCTCATGCTTCTCACTACCCTCTGTTGGATGTTTGCAGGTTTTGTATTTAAGGCCGGAGCTTAATTGTCGAAGTTATTTAACCCAAGCTGATGCAATGATTCGCTTCTCATTTCTCAGCAACCGTGTCGAAAGACACATCCTGTGGTCATTGAAAAGATGTTGATGCATTTGAGGAGGATCAATTCATTGGCATCAAGCAGAGAAAGCGATGCAGAGACCACTAAAATGGGGTTGAGAACTCGCCAGCGCATTAACCACTGGGAGGGCAGTGGAAAACCATTGTCTTTCAGGAAGAAATGCAGGTTGAAATAAAACCCTGAATCATTGTCATCACTTGAACGTTTGGTGACATCAAATCGAAGGAAAACAACAACGTAACTCAGGGCTATGTGCAGTCATGAAAGTCAGAACATTTTCACACCACTAGGTGAAGGGACCTCAAGTGATTGGAACTGAACAGCTGTGTACCCTTAAGAAACCCACTATTCAGTGGCTAACTAGAGAAAAAGGTTTCAGTTTGTAACTGAACATAGACATTGGACTCATGGAAGAAGGTCATGTGGCCTGATGAGTCCAGATTTACAACTTTTAACCTTTAAAGCCTTTTTGAGGTAGAAATATTGAATAATTTTTTTTGTGATAGCTGAATAGATTACTGATAGCTGAATAGATTACTGAAGATTACTGTTTGCTATTGGCACAAAAGAAGAGGAAATATGGCAAGTCATATTGTCATTGCAACTTTCGCCGATATTATCAGATCATAGGATTTCCTAACATCCTTTAGTAAACTCTGCTGATTTCATTATGGAAAATCATGGAGTTGAACATAAAGACTGTGTACTTGGCTTTAAAAAAAATATCTAAAAAAATGTCCAAACTAAGTTCATGGCAAAGATTTGCCTCAGCTTGACTTCAAAGTAAAGCTGTTGGTGCCAACATTGCAGAGCAGAAATGGAGAGCAAGTCATGAACAGTGAGGTAGGCACAGTTGGTGCATCCCTAGATAGCAGTGCTTCACATATCAAGAAAGAAATACTTGCTTCACACAAGTCCTCATTGTGGAGAGAAAAGGGGTATGATAAAGAAAAAAAGAATAATTGTTTGGTGCTGCATTTTAGAAAAAATTAGTTATTTTCTGTGCACCTAAAGAATTGACTTGCAAAAAGAGTTTATAGACCTAAAATCTTTTTTCACATCTTTCTTGTTGTTTAAAGCTACAGTGTATTTTATGAGCATTTTATGTGATGGTAAACACAAAGAAGTACTGCAATGGGAACAATGCTTTCATCAGTAGAGACAGGTACGCTGGTGTGGCTTGATGAAAAGATGGATGGACATAAATACTTGCCAGTCTGGGGTGAAACCCCAATAAGTCTGCAAAAAAAATTGAGACTTGGATGGAGGTTTGTCTTCCAGTAGGTATCAGAGCATATTCAGCCAAGGTGCAGATCTAATTCTAGTTGAGAGTTTGTAAAGTGATTTACCACCTTCAATCAAAAAGCACAGACATGACGAGACAAAATGTTAGGATTTTCAATGAGTACTAATTATTCTTTAACAGAGGCTTGAGTACCAAATAGATCAGTCAAAACATTCCGGTTCTTTCTCATGTTGTCTTTGGTTACAGTTTTTATGTTTGCGAATTGCAATGACATCTTAATATTCTATGACCAGCTGAAAGCAAAGCACTGTGCTGTTCGCCCGATTTCAGTCGAGCCAGATCCAACCTCTGAGATCCCATCAGTCTTTCCGGACGCCTTGGGTGGATCATTTAAATCATGTGTCCTCATGTTCACAGGTCGTTGTGTCAACAAACATCGCTGAGACGTCCCTGACCATCGACGGAGTGGTGTTTGTAATTGATCCCGGATTTGCCAAGCAAAAGGTTAGCTTCCCCTTTTCCCCCCGCAACTCCTTATCTGCTGCGATCATCTGCGTCTGTTGCCTGAGAATCCTCAGATAAACACAGCAGTGCACAACTGACAGCAGCAAAGATGGAAAAGCCTGTTATTTATTCCCCTGACATTTCACCAGCCTGAAGCCAAGTCATACACTCGGCACAAAACAAGATTATATATTCACCGTGGTGAATTGGGCGCATGTGTCACTCTGCAGCTTTTTGTCATCATCTTGTAGATGCGCTAGATGTTACTTTCTTAATTTAAAAAAAAAAAAAAACAGAAAAATAAAAGCACAACCCCAGCTTAAGCATTTCTGTTTTTCTTTTTTTCCTGTTAAATCATTTCAAGCCTTTTCTCTCTGTTCCTTTCAGGTGTACAACCCACGCATCAGAGTGGAATCCCTTTTGGTCACAGCCATCAGCAAGGCCTCGGCTCAGCAGAGAGCGGGTCGCGCTGGACGAACGCGCCCAGGAAAATGTTTCCGCTTGTACACAGAGAAAGCTTACAGGACAGAAATGCAGGTGAAAAGCGGTGTGGCTTTAAGATGACTGAAATTATATGAAATATAAACTCAAGGCAACTTCTTATATATGCCATTCTGCAATGCCTCAAGCATCTCGTATCCCCCAGGGCGACCTTATAGCTGTAGAGAATTTGCTCTCACGACTCTTAGATTTCAGGATCCTGATTCTAAATCACCTTCTTAAGATGTGTTAACAACATGGCCACAGTGAAAAATGAACTTCTAAAACCCAGTTTTCCACTTTCCTCAGGGTAATTCTATCCCATCACTCTTAGTGGCATGGAAATGTTTCTTTTTTAAATAGCCCTTCAGATGCCCTACACTCCCTATTTCTGTTTAAGCTGACATATGACTGATCCATGAGTAGATAATAATCACCGTGTCTGATTCACTTTAAATTGTTCCTTGGGCTTCCTTTCTAAATGGCACAGGACAACACATATCCAGAGATCCTGAGGTCTAATCTTGGCTCTGTGGTGCTGCAGCTAAAGAAACTGGGCATTGATGATCTGGTGCACTTTGACTTCATGGACCCTCCAGGTTAGTTTAAAGATGGCATAGATTTTTAAGCAAGAGATGCCTCAACAAATTACTTTTAAAAAATACTCCTTTCTTATTTATTTATTTTGGAAATGCTGCATAATTGAGTTGAATCCATAGATATCAGAGTTCGAGTGAAGACAGATCAAGCTAAATATAAAATTGCTGTTTAGATATTGTCCGTCCAATTTGATAAAACCGGAACAAAGAGGTAGAGAAGGATGCAATTACATACCACATTTTTCAGATGAATAAAAATAGGGTTTTTTAGGCCATGCATCCTGCTCCTTCTACTTTGTAGTTATTCACAACTTTGTTCTAATCTGTCACATTCAATCCTGATGAAAAACATTAATGTTTGTAGCGTGATCTGGCGCAATGGAAAAGGTGTAAGAATTATGAAAGCTTGAACACTCACACAGGAGCGATCGGAGCCAGCATGCTGCAGTTTTTCATTAGATTCGAGCAATATTTGTATAATACAGAGGACATCAGATACACACTTTCTTCTTCCAAGCTTTTTTAGTCACTATTTTAGATTTATTCTGCCAACTGAAAGATAAACCAGAACCAAATAGATGGAATAGGTCTCAACAAAGACAGTCCAACTGTGACGGTCGTGGTCATATTTTAGGTTTGGCAAAGTTAATCTAAAAGCATTTAACAACTTTTCAAGTTGTAGTTTTAGTTACATCTCTTTAGAAATCACTGTCAGCAATTTTCTCAGAGCAACACAGACATCAACAACTTTGATGACTGCTCCATGCTGCTTCTCTGCACATTATCATTAGCTGAACCTCTTTCCTTTGCACTTTATTGCATTCTTTAATAAACCAAGAAAGACATCTGGAGTGTATCTTAAACAGTTTGTGTCTAATTGAGGTGTCAGGTTATTGTATTTTCTAATGTATGTATTTTGAGCTCCTCCTGAAGAAACCGCCCACCTCTTCCTACCCCTAACCTTCATCTCTCCCTCCTCCCTTTTCTCGCCATAATATAGTTTTCATCTCACCTCTGAGATTAAACCCATCTCTCCCCGTCCACTGTGGCAAACGCCATTTGGAGAATGAAATTGGTTACATCAATAGCAGCACTATCACCTTAGCAATTGCCTTCCCTTTATATTCCTTCAGTGAAACGTGACTGACCTCCAACACTACGCTCACATTCCTCACAAAAACGCGCAGGTGTACATCAACATATGGGATTGGCCTTGTCGGCGGAGTCTTAACTGGGAACAGTGGGGTGAAGGAAAAGGGGGGCGGATTACCTTTTTATTTATTTGATCCACTCAGGGCAGAAGGTTTCTCCTGAAGTAGCTCCTGCACAGCCTGGTAGCAGGAGCTACTTGGGTGCAGCAAATGAAGTCTGATTTAAGTCTGAGAGTTACTAGACAGGTCTTATAACATGTATTTACAGTGGATCACTGTTTATATGCTGTGCTGAAGGTCTCTCGCTGGGAAAATAGCCAATATTGACTGAAGGAATTGATAAATATACTGCATAAACCTTTAGAGATGGAGCTTTTTTGTCTGTAACTGTTTTTTTTATCAATAATTTTGGTATGTTTTAGTAATGTTTGAAAAGTAATTTCTGAATTTGAGTTTTGGTATTTTTATCATTTAAGACAGAAAAGTCACTGGTTTATCTTGTTTTTCTTTCAACAGGAAAGAAAGGAAAGTCCTTCTCTTTCCTTCATAAATTCCTTCAAAGCTGGAGCAACATATGAATTTCACATTGTTAAGGTACAGCTCAAGTTTGAGTTAATAAATAATGGTGTCAATCAAAAAGAATCCATGACTTGATCGGGCAGAATTTCTGGTGGCATTTTAAAATTGAACAAATTTGGCTTCTTTTTCATATTCTTTACACTACGGGTGGGCAATATGGACTGAGAATTTGCTCACAATATTTTGTGGTACTATTGTGATAACTATAAAAAATAAAATACTTAGGTAACATATTTTCAAATTTGCTGACACCTATTGACTCTCTCATGGAACAAAGTGTGGGGAAAATTGTAAAAAATAAAGTTTTTGGTATTACCAGTTTTATGTTTTATTTATAATTAAAACTGATCAATTACTGATGATAAATGAAAATTTCTATCCTGATAAGAAAAATTTCACAATAAGTGATAAATAATGCAATAAATGGCCACCACTTCTGTGCACACGTAGATTTCTGTGGACTTGCGTAGGATTTTTGCTAATCTGCCAAAAAGTTCAGTTTTGGTCTCATAAGAGAATCGTGTTCTTCCATGTGTTTGCTGTGTTGTCACTAAAGTTTCTTATGACAGATTTTTATTTCAAAAGCGGTTCTGTTCTTTGTTCTCCCAGCACTTTGCTGGGCCAAATTCATTTTCCTGGTGACATTTCCAAAAAGCGCCTTTCAAAACCGATGTGGTTCAGTGTACCTTTAGCCTTTTGCCTCATTGATTTTAACCTGGGTTAATACATCGGATTCTTGTGTGTCGAGCCAGTCGATGTTTGTTTTCTGATGAGTTGCGTTACATTTAGATTGAATTTCCACGCTGGTTCCTTCTTGCTAGCTGTACTTAGAAATCGGATTTTCACCTTTTGTTCAGCCCAACACAAGCCATCAGAATGGTAAGTAATCTGGCCGACATTCACCGTTTGGAGGAGGAAAAAAAAAAAGTAAAAAGTAGCTTTGATAGACTAAATCAATATTTGTTAATCATAAAGAACCCCACCTCCCTGCTGTTTGAAATTGAATTTTTTTTAGAAGCACTTGAGAGAAATGAAAGTGAGCAAACACCAGAGTCGGTGTTTGAAGCTAATTTTCAGTTAACATGCAACTGGTCATTAGGCGTCGGCTCCGAGAAGCCAAAGGTCAATAATTGCATCTGGAGGAAAAATCTTTTAACCAAGCGGTGGAAGCCTTTTGTGTTTAAGCATTAAGTAGAAAGTTCCCCTGTAATTACATTAGTTGTTTGGGATTGCCAGAGTGTAGGATGAAAAATGAGCTCTGCCATGATTGCTTCTCTGCAATGCCGCTGTCGAACGTAACTCTGGCCATCACATAACAGGAACCATCTCATTCTGATTCCCCTCATGCATCTGGCTGCCAAATCTGCCAACTGCTTCCATTTTAGTGTTTGTTTCGTTTCTTAAAAGGCATTTGTCTTCTATTAGAGCTCAAAGTACAACAGGTGATGGAAGTGTTTTCTCTGCTCCCGGTCCTTTGAGGGCCAGGTTTATTCCTTCAAAAATGCACTCTACTTCTCCAGACACTGACAGATGGGTCTTTTGATTTAAAAGTTGAATAAAAACAATGAAACTTTATTCACTGATTCACATTATAAACTACATAGTCAGGACTGATAGAATAATATAAAAAACACAAGCTATAACCTAGCTTACATACAGACAAAACAGTTGGGAGAAGGGGATTTCTGAGTGGCAATAATAACGCCATCCAGATGTAGCATTAAATAAAGCTTACATTTTTTTTGTTTAATTGGACTGAAAACCACACACACAAATATAACAGTTTCTATAGTTAACACTCGATAAAACAAATGCATGTCATGACATTTGAACATTTAGAAAGAAACATATTTTAGCTTCCATATGTTGGCAAAAAGGACAGTCGGAGCTTGTACTCGTGATAGTTTTAATAATATCTGACGTATTTTTGTTTGAAAGTCAATTCGAATTGTACTCTTCAAGCAACGCTGCTATAAAAGAATGACAGTTTTGCAAATTGTCTGCATCTGCCACCTGTGTGTTTCCGCCTGTGGGGTTGGAGCACTTTAACAGCCCGTCGCTCCCACTCTGTCCTCCCCAGCCCCAGAGACCCTGATGCGAGCCCTAGAGCTGCTGAACTACCTGGCAGCGCTCAACGACAACGGTGACCTGACCGAGCTGGGCTCCATGATGGCGGAGTTCCCCCTGGACCCGCAGCTCGCCAAGATGGTCATCGCCAGCTGCGAATTCAACTGTTCCAATGAGATCCTCTCCGTCACCGCCATGCTGTCAGGTAATGCTCAGAGCTGGCCCGTTGTGTGAGGCTGGACTGACCCGAGAGCTCAAAGAACATGTGCAGGGCTGCTTTCAGGTCCAGATTCACAAACAGTGATAAACATTGATACCAAGACTGGAACTGGTCACCAGCTAATGTTTACCTCGCCTATAGAAATATAAGTTATTGGACTCGTTAAGCAGGAGGCAAATTCATTCAATGCTATTATTATGTCCCCCTCACATTGTAGTTCTTAAAAAGAAGCTCTCAAAAATTGGCAATTTTTGGTCAAAGCTTTGCAAAAACCCAAAAATGAAAACATTTGGATTGTTTCAACTCCACTTCCTAGTTGTTTAAGGCCACTTAGAATACATGTCATGTGTGCCTTCAGAACTTAACTACAAGGCAAGTGGAGTAAAAAGTCAGTAGTGTCAGCTGTTTGTGAGAAAGAAGGGTGGTGTGGGGGGAGAAATAAATGTCTGTACAAAATGTATAGGTGTAGCTGGAGCAGCACTAGCACGCTACGGCAGTAATTGCACTTCGGGCTTGCCAAAGCAGAATGCTGCTCATTGAGATGAATCTTGACGCCTTTGAAGGGAGTGTGAGGGTCTTTGAGAGCGGGGAAATGGATTTAACTAGCTGTTTGGACGTGGTGTGCACTTAAAGCAGCTGTTTCAGGATGGAAGGTTTTTGCTGAGTTCATTAAAGCAAGCAGCAGAAGCTCACCTGAGAACGCCGCCGCCACAGCAACCAACCGTGAGGCTCAATAAACACAGCTTTTATCCATTAAAGGCACAATCAAGCACGTTCGATGTTAAGCAGGCCAGGAGCAAATTGACAGAGGGTAAAGGGCAGAACCAGACAGCCTCACTGAATCAGTTCTGTTGGATTGTGCACTTGTTTGGACTGGTTGCCAGATGTTAGCTGTAAATCATCTAAAACCAGGCTACTGTAGAGGAGGATGAAGAATCCCATCATCCTTCCTTCTCTTAGACCCTCCTCTCCTTTTCACACGTAAACTCTTGGCAATGCACTGTGCCTCGTTTGAGGCCTTGTTCTTCCCTCTGTTGGATTTGCTTACCTTATCCCTGTGGGCGGCTGGGGGGCCCCATACCAACCTTGTTTAGTCCCACAGTGCTTCGTTCGACCCGCGGATGCCAAAAAGGTGGCTGATGATGCCAAGATGCGCTTTGCCCACATCGACGGAGACCACATGACGTTACTCAACGTCTACCATGCCTTCAAGCAGAGTAAGTTATCTATTCATTATTCTATGTTACACTAGTTTGCATGTGGATGCATCATATTATTGAAAAGTTTGCAAAGTTACGTTGTAGGGTTACCAAATGGATCAGAGGTTGGTCAGTGTCATTGTCCCCCTGTTCGATTCCTGGGCCATTTACTGTGTCTTCTCTCTCTTCCCTTCTTTCTGTCTAGTTACTAATTAATTAATCCACACAAAACTTTAAAAATCACATTATATAAATTAATTATATATAAGCTGATGTTTTTAAGACTCTATCTGTATGTTGTGATGATTTTCATCTTCCTGCTAATGAAAACATAACATTTTAGATCAGACCAATTTTAATTAGTATGTTTAATACTTATTTAAAGGTTGCCAATTTCAAACGTTCCTTTAATCTGACAAACAAAACTCATTAAAATGCATATTCTAATTTATTTTAGAATGGCTCTGCATATTTGAGTAAAAACTTATCAACAAACTGTGATCCTTTAGTCAGCGATAGTCTTTAAATAAATGGATGATATTGCCCATATCGGTGAGTGGCCATTTTGATAAACACGAAGAAAATGAAGATGTTACCTGCAATATGTTTCCACAATAAGTGATAACTGTTGTCCAGTCGGCAGACATTTGTTTTAAAACTATCATCTGGTATTCACATTTTGAGGAGAGTTTGAGGTTTTAATAACATGCAAGTTAGAGATACAAAATAATTCAAATAATTGAACTGCAGATTAAGTTCTCAGTAATATTCAAATTAACCTGCTTAATGCTTCTCCAAATCCCTCTCTGTCACTTTGTCACAGACCACGAGTCCACCCAGTGGTGCCACGATAACTTTGTAAACTACCGCTCGCTGATGTCAGCAGACAACGTTCGGCAGCAGCTGTCAAGGATCATGGATCGCTTCAACCTGCCAAGAAACAGCGGCGATTTCAACAGCAGAGACTATTATCTCAACGTCCGACAAGCGCTGGTCACTGGCTTTTTCATGCAGGTGAGCGATCAGTCTGGTGGAGCTACGCTCGTATTTAAACTAAAAGGTTGATCCTTCGAAAAACAGGTTTCGCATATTTGCAGAACGCTCGTTGAAAACAGCGTGGAGCTTACGGTCACACACACATTTAGTGACGTTTTGTTTTAACCACATAACAAGAAATCCCATTAATTTGTCTCTTACTCAGGGATACAAATGGTGGCTTTGCAAGAAGCCATTTTCAGGGCCACCTGAAACAAGCAACCTGACAAGTTGAATTATGGTTCTAATATTGAAATATTTGTCAACATTAACCTTTATCTCGGAGACAAATTTGCAGCTCATGTTCAAGGGTTCACAGTGTTTGGTTATCACATCTTTGTTTGGAAAGGCCTTTATTGAGACTGATTGCCTTGTCTAATCACGACCGCCACAGAGTAACGACCAAGTGACTACAGGGTGGGTGGTGGTGGGGGGGATTAGTCGTTTTAGGGCTTGAAAATAGGTTTCAAGTACTTGCTCTTTTTTCAGCCATGTGGATCAACAATAAAGAAATGTTAAAAAGCTTATTTCAATTTGTTTGGATGTTTCCTTCATAATTGTCTGTTCTGTAAATAGGTTGCTCACCTTGAGCGCACCGGCCATTACCTGACGGCAAAGGATAACCAGCTAGTGCAGCTGCACCCCTCCACTGTGCTGGGCCACAAACCTGAGTGGGTTCTCTACAACGAGTTCGTCCTCACCACCAAAAACTACATCCGGACGTGCACAGACGTCAAGCCGGAGTGGTGAGTTTCAGATTGCTTGTAAATATGTTCTGTTCTGTTCATGTATGAAATGAGAGGAAATAAAGTTAAACATTTTGCAAATATTACATTCATTGTGATTAATCGTAATGTTGTAGTGTTATTAATGTGATATAAAAACATTTTTAATCTATTGACAGCACCAGATAAAAAATAGACTTGAATTCTTGCTTGTAAATTGAAGTATGAAGTTGTGGCATTGAAAAATTTGAAATCCTTGTATCATTTTCATCCTATCTCACATTATCGATAAGAATAAGTTTGCAAGGTGCTGTATGCTTTATAAATGAAAAAAACAATTGAAAAATATGACAACAAACGTGATTCAAACTAACAAGCCAGTCACACCGGTGCATCATTCTGAGCTAACCTGAAACAATCCTTTTAGCTGTTTCTGTTTCCCCTGTGTGACCTCGTACAATTATGTTCCAAATTTGTTGTGCTTGCTCCAGCAGTCGCCTCGTGAATATGGAAGAACATTTTTATTTTTTTTCTTCCCCACAAGAAAACACGGGAGACAATTTTGTGACTGTTGACTTACCTTCTTTTCCAGGCTGGTGAAAATTGCCCCGCAGTACTACGAGATGAGTAACTTCCCTCAGTGTGAAGCAAAAAGACAGTTGGAGCATATTATTGCAAAACTCTCATCCAAGGAATACACTCAGTACTAAGAAGGCCTGCGAGTGCTGCGGCAGTACAAAGTGTAAATATGAACTCGTTTCAGTGTTCTTTGTCTTTTTAATTCCCACGAAGGACACAGTGTGACTGTTTTTTTTTTTTCCTTCACTGCACCAAATGCTTTCTCATGATTCATAAACTGTGGGCTACATTTACTGGACCTTTTTTAAGCATCATTGCAAACAGGCTAAATAGGCTTAGAAATATCTTATCAGAAAATGAACAATTCTGTCACTTGATGTAAATTTCAACACTCCATTGTTTATTGCTACTTTAACGGCATTAATGTATTAAGAGTGGCTTTTGATCAGATGTAATTAAACAGCATTTTGATGTAATGTTCATCTCACTTCCCATCAGCTGTTCAGTTGAATAAAAAATGCATTTGTAATAACTCTTTCTCTCTGTCATCATTACAATTAAAGCATAATCTGCACATGAACTTCTCATTCGCTCACTCAGATCATTCACTTCCCGACCTGCGAAATCCAGCCCGTTTCTCCTGCCTCTTTAGGGACGTTAAATCTTCTTACTGGGGTATTGATAGCTCGAGAAACAGTTGGAGTTGAGGAGGAATGTTAATTACAAATGTTTCAGAAGAAGATCATTGTGAAAATCCCTGCTGTGCCAGATCCTGTTCTGGCTGCACTGCTTTGGGCCGGCGCCTCGTGGATGTGGAAGGTAAAGGCGTGGGCTTGAGAGAATCATAATTTCCTCTGCTATTCAGGGAAAAAAATATAGTCGTTAGTAGTGAAAGTTGGATGTTTGTTGCCGTCTCTAACAAATGGAAAACCTCATGTGTCTATAAATTAGTCAGAATTGAATGTTCTGGCAGCTTTAGGAAGATCATGTATTTTATTGAGTTTATCAGGAGTTTAGACGAGGAAATCTTGTCGACACTGGTTTCGCCAAGCTCTTGTCTGACTGTTCATAAATAAGTTTAACAAGATGCATGGAGTTTGATTGAAACATTTTCCAAGTCTGGATGACTGGGTAAAAAAAAAAACAAAGATTAATTTTCAGACATTCCTTATCCTAGTCACTGAAACTTGCACCATCCTTCCATTCTTTTTTCATCCATCCATTATGTTCTTTTATTCATTCCGTCTTCCTGTCAGACCTCAACTAATATCTGCTGCAAATTTATGACAACATTTTATGTTTGTGCTTTAAAAATTGGTCAAAGGAATTACAAACCTGAGAATTTGAAGAAATATGGTATGAAGAATTTGATTTGGGAGTGTAATAGTATTCTGCAATGTAGTTTAAGTCCTTTACTCCAAAGAATAATATCTGAAAGATATTTTGTTTTGAATTCATAATACAGCCAAATGCAGTTAGAATGTAATCTGTGATATCTTCTTTTAAAAAGGTATTTTACTCTTTCTGTTTTTACATCAACTGTTCACTGATGAACTAAAAATAGAGCCAGCAATGAACAAGTAAGCAGTTTTACAACATCTCCGTAGCGTGTGGATGCAGGCAGGCGGAGATACCAGACCTGCATTGGGACTGTTTTTTTTAATTAAGCCTGCAGATTCCGTAATATGCCACGTCAGGAAATAAGCACGTGTGCTCCAATGTTTTTGACGATCGGGGAAACGAGTTTCTGAGTGGTTGGCCTTTTGCTCGGGAACACACAGAGCGACACAAAAAGTCTCCGTCTGACTAATCAGGCCAATAGAAAAGCCATTAGACTGAGCTGATCTGGAAATTATATGGGATTGATCCTGAGGTAAGAACAGTTTTTCATGCTCGGTACTTCCGATTGATTCACGCTGCCATAATTACAAATGAAAATCATTACGTCTCCAAGCTGTATTTTCTCCAGTGTCTGATGTGAGTGCCGTGATGATGGTCTAGTATGAATGAGTATACTCAGACATCCTTGTCAACACCTATTAATACTGGCTAATTAATATTAATAAAATGGCATTTGCATGTATTTCTTTCAAAGCTATTAAAAGTGTGAAGGTTATTCGAGGCCAATGATCTAATTTATTTGACCCTACAGCTGATCCAGATCAATGCTCGCAGTCCTAGCTGCAGACTAGAGACAGCTTTTTGTGTTGGATTTTGATAGCACAGTCAGTGCTTTGCCAAAGTATTAAAAAAAACCCAGACCTTTAAAGCATTTGATGTCAGATAGACACAAGTTAGTGCAAACTTCTAAAAGGAAAGGAGAAGGAAACATACTCTTCAAAATCTTCTACAATTATTCTAGGGATGGAGGTATCTGCTTTGTATTCAGCCCCGCGGGTTAATACTTTGAGAATCACGTTTCATGGCAATCTCAGCAGCAAGTACTCCGGAGAGTCACTCTATGAGCTTTTGACTTCAAAATAGTAACATTTTTACCAACTTTTCTGTGAGGTAGTATTTGAAGTGTTGCCTCAGATTTATTTGAATTTAGGTCTGGACTTAGAATGAAGTATTCTTCCCATTTTAGCGCTAGCTCAATGGTTTTGGTTATTAACGTACAAGAAAGGGATCTTCCACCACAAAGTAGTTTTTCTGCAATCTCTAACACAGAACCTCCCTTCCAGATCTCTGTGCCGCTCTGCCAGGGTAACCATAGGTCTCTAGTTGTTTCTCTGATTGATCCTCTCCCTGCCTGGTATGTCAGTTAAGGTGGATGACCATATGTTGGTTGGTTTCCAGTTATCCCAAAGTCTTTCCATCCTCAAATAATGAATCAAACATGATTGGTGAGATGTTGAAAGCTTGGGATATTGTTTTATTACCCAAGTCTACTTTAAGTTTCTCCACAACTTTATCCTTTATCCAACTATATGTGTTGTACTTTAGAAAAAAAAAAAGTACAAACAAAAACCGTATACTTTTCATTTAAGTCCAAAAGTACGCAACGCTTTTGGTTGGTACGTACTTTTGGCATAGCGTCCCAAAAAGACAGGTTGCATGGGGTTTCCATACTCTTGCAAGGTGCTGTAACTCACCAAAAGTCGCAAACACAAACAAAAAGAAACAAGAAAAACAGCAAGGCAGGTAGTGTTCGGCGTCATTCCAAACAGCGTGAATCACCAGCTCGCTGCAGCTCAATCTCCTGCCACCCACAGAGTCCTGGATGGTGCCTCATCATCATTTGAGACCGTGGGGTAGAGAAAGTTTATTGCAAAACACCTCAGCATTTCAGGAAATCCATCCACCCACTCATTCCTCCTCTTTCTTCTCTTCTATCTCCTCCTCCCCCACCCATCCCACGCCGGTCCTTCACCCCCAAACAGCACCACGACAGGTGTCTTATCTCCATCGCGCAGCACAAGCACAGCCAATCTTCCAGGAAGACGGCGGCTGGAATGTGACAAATCCATCTGTCCTGGTTTGAATTTGTATGCTAATTTGAAGTAATAGCCCCTTTGGTGACAGTGCAAGGGAACAATTCAATCACGCCATCTATGACAGTTGCGTCCCGGGCCTTCTCTGTGATATGGGAGTATATGCACGCAGTGTCTGCGTTAGGCTTGATAGATTGGTTATGTAGGTGCGAGATGGCATGTAGACTGCATGTTTAAAACCGGCTGCCGGTCGGAGATGAATCACGCAACGACTAAAGGCACCTGTGCAAAAATGAGCAGCTACTTCCGTCTGGAGAAAAGGAAAAAAAGGGAAACAATGTTTGATTTGAAGCTATTTATTTCCGAGCTAATCTTCCGGATTGGCAGCCATGCTTAGCCCTCATTCTCATTACAACTTTACTGCCGCTGCCACCCTCCTGAAATACGTGCGAATGGTAGCGGTGCCCCCACAAAAAGATCACGCCAGCACAATTGTTACACTGTCGAGCTGAATTATCTCTCGCTGTTGATTTGATTCAGAGGGAAGCTTTTAAGTGTCACCGGGCAGAAGAGGGGAACAGGCTAAAGAAGGAACTAAGAAGATACAAGAAAAAAAAGGGTGCAAGCACATTTGTGGTTTTATGCAATCTTTAAATTAATCTGCAGCTCGGGAAAGATTATGGTTGATGGTGACAGATAAGGCTGAAGAAGAAGCCTCTCTACATTCTTGATTCAATCATTCCTTTTCTTTTCCTCTCAAAATGCATTTTATTACAATATGACACATAATAATCATCAGAGCTGTCAGTGAAAGATCAAAATCTCCCTAAACTCTTTATTTTTGAATGCACAGGGATGTATTTTAGCACAATTCATAGCTCCGACACTCTTAGCAGGCCTCATGAGAACCGGCGCGATTAGATGCGTAAGCTTGGCCATGATGAGAGGCATATTCCCCGTCTTACCTAGAATCTCTGCCGCTGCGGGGAAAACCCAGACAATTTCTGGATCCAGCTCAGTGCCCGTTGACCAGGCTTCAAACGGGTGCCGATCGTGCACGGAGAACACATTCGATCAAACCAGGAGGGCAGCAGACGTGACGGATGAGTCGACAAGACTCGCCCATCTCACTGCAGGGGCTTGCATCAAGATAAATAGCGTTGGTGAAAGACAGTTCTCCAAATGAGGCCTGTTAGCAGCAATTGTGCTAAACAGCTTGGAGAAAATGAAGGATTCTCTGCGGTCAGCAAGGCTGCATGAGGAGAACAAGGAATTCCATCATGGGTTGGTTTAATTCAGAAGAAAAAGAAACACTCTTCCTTTAAAGACGTTCTGCTTTGCTTATAGATCTTTGGGTTTTTGTGTTCTATTTTACAGCTGAAACTGTATTTACGTTTTGCTAGTTTGTTCCTCATGTACATTTTTAAATAGAATAGTTTTTTTTCCCCTTTTTCTTTTTTTTGGTTACGCACCCAGGATTTCTTATACCTTAGCGTACGAAACCAATGCAACATAATGCAATGCGATACAATAAGCACGTTATCTTGCATCACAGCAGGTTTATTTACACACACACACACGCACGCACGCACGCGCACACACACACACACACACACACACACACACACACACACACACACACAGGTCGAAGCTGAATTACACATTACAGGATGAGCAGATAATGGAGTTCTACTCTGGACAGTGATCCCAGGTAGAGCAGCATGTGCACAAAACAATGGCTGAAAAAGAAAATAATCCATGTGCTTCAAAAAGTCCAGACCTCCACTTGACTGAAATGCTGTGGTGGGTCCATAAGAGAGCTGTAAACCAAACTTAATGAACAGAGGGACTGTTGTAAAGAACAAGACCTGGCAATAGACGCTGAAAGTGGTTCAGTCATGGGATGTTTGGCAAATTGTTCAAAGTTAAATATTTTAACAAATTATAACTATAATTAAATATTTTATGTGATTTTCTCTGAAGTTACATTTAAAATATTTTAGAACCGGGAAAGGAAAGTGTCATGTTCAATGCATAAAACTGAACAACTATAAGAAGGTGTACTTTCTTTGTAGCATCACTGTATTTTAAA